GCCGCAGCAGCAGCCGCAGCAGCAGCCGCAGCAGCAGCCGCAGCAGCCAGGATGTGGAGCATGGATTGAGCGGTCTCCTGGCTAACCTCCCACTTCCGGGGTGGGCTTTCAGGCCCGGGAGCGGGGACGTGACGAGGGCGGGTGCTCCCATGACCCTGTTCTCCAGCCTGGGGTGGTCCTGGAACTGAAGACCTGGGAAGGGGTTTGGGGGTGTGGGTCTAGGGCCTCCCCCTTGCTCTCACCCCAGGATGCCCCAAACTGCACCCATCGCACCAGATCATCCCCAACCGCTAAACTCTGGGGAGAGGTAAATGTCTTTAGCTGATAAGTGCAGGTATTCTCAATGGAAGCAGCCCCACGGCATCTTTAGGATCTACCTTTAAAAACTGTCCACTTCCTGAAGCTTCTAGCCAAAATTAACCATTTGGCACCCCCTTCCGTTTTGTTTGTTGTTGTTGTTTCAGAAGGGATTTTAAGTTGGCTTATAAAAATACCACAAAACAGCAGTTTTTGAAGGCGAGGGACTAGGAATGAGGGAAAAATAGCAAAAACAAGATGAAGTTAGGGATGAAGACGATTGACGTCATAGCCTGCTATGATGCAATACACTACAGTTTTAAGGGGCCACACGTTTTTAACTGAGTCTTACAGAAACCAATGAACAGGAAAATATGACCAGTTCTTGGTTCACAGTCTGTAAGGTTTGTCACTGTTGCTGCTGCAGCTAGTGATCCCTACCTTTGGGTCATGACAATGCTAACCAGGTAGTGTGGATGCTTGGCCTATGAGAAGTTGGTGGACCCAGGAATATTTGACTTGGGAAGAGCCGGGTAGGGCAGATTCACCCTCTCAAACCTTTCAAGGAATGGCATCAGGAAGAATAATTCTGGTTTTGGGTATAGTCCAGAGAGTGAAGCAGGCCTATGTAGATAGAAGGGACATCACAGCAGATGCTCAGAAACAGAATGATGGCTGCATACAACCACAAAGAGACAAGAACGGGGTTACGAAGCTCAGAAACATCACCCGCAGGAAATTGCATGGACAAATGGGGAAACAGTCATACGATAGATTGTAACCCAACAGTAAGAAACTACCGTTACACGCACAACAGGGGTGAATCTCCTAGGCATTTGAGTGAGAGGAGCCAGGCTAAAAAGAGCAACTTCAATATGATTATGTTGATATACATTTAATGAAGTGGAAAAATTAGTCTATGGTGATAAAAGTCAGAGTCGTGGTTAGTTCTTGAAGGGGATATTGACTGGGAAGTCGCACTGGGAAGGGGAATTCTCTAGAAGGGCAGAAATGTTCTCTGTCTAATCTGGGTGGTGATTATGGGGGGATACATGTATGTAAAACTTGATAAGCTGGACACTTAAGACTTGTGCAGTTTACTGCACGAGAAGTGTATGTCGGTAAAAAAAAAAAAGTAACAACTTGTTTAGGGAAAGAAAAGAAGGAAGGAAGAAATGGATTGGCCTTGCAATGCAGAAGCTAGATGGCTATCTCTTAAGGGTGATAAAAAATAGTGGTATGGTAGGCAAAATAACGGTCCCCCGAAGATGTGCGTGTCCTCATTCCCACCGCCTAGGATTATGTTACATCATATGTCAAGGGGAGCATTATGGTTACGGAGGGAACTAAGGTTTCTAATCATCTGAGTTTAAGATAGGGAGATTGGGGGCACCTGGCGGACTCAGCACGTGCAGCGTGCGGCTCGTGATCTCAGGGTTGTGAGTTTGAGCTCCACCTTGGGCGGAGAGAGTACTTAAAAATAAAAATATTTTTTTTAAAGGGAGATTGTTTTAGGGTAATCAATCACCAGGGTCCTTAAATAGGGAAGAAGGAGACAGAGGCCGAATCGGAAAGTTGGCATCATGAGAAAAACTCAGCTGGCCGTCGCTGCTGTGAAGATGGAAGGGGGCCAGGAGCCAAGGAATGCAGGCAGCTTTCAAAAGCCAGAAAAGGCAAGAACCCAGATTCTCCCCTAGAGCCTCCAGAAAGGAACACAGCCCTGCTAAAATCTAGGTTTTAGCTCAGTGAGACCCATTCTGAAATGGGTCTCACTGACCTCTAAACCTGTACAGAATTACATTGTCTTTTTTTAAAAAAAAGATTTATTTATTTTAGAGAGAGAGTGTGTGGGGGTGGGTGGGCAGAGGGAGAGGGAGAGAGAATCTCAAGCAGGCTGTGTGTGGAGCCTGACATGGGGCTCCATCCCAGGACCCTGACATGGTGACCTGAGCCCCCCAAGCACCCCCAATATTATGTGGTCTTAAGCCACTGAGTTTGTGGCAATCTGTTACAGCAGTAATAGGAAACCAATATGAACGGTCCTCAATTTTTTTTGCATATATACATCCCCAATTTTTTAGTCGCCAGTTTAAATAGTTGCAAAAGCAGCGATTTCTAATTTATTACATATTATAATTATCTTTCCAATATGTTTCCACCAAAACCATGGAGATGCAGGCTTCACTTATTCCATTTATGAAAAACACTCTCCAAATGACCTCACTGGCAAAGCCTACCCTCATAATCAAACCAGTCAGCTAAAAGAGATTACTGCCTATCAGAAACAGTCTGACTTCATTTTTTTTCAGTTTAAATCAAAGGGTTGGGCGCCTGGCTGGCTCAGTTGTTAAGCATCTGCCTTCAGCTCAGGTCATGATCCCAGGGTCCTGGGATCAAGTCCCGCGTCAGGCTTCCTGCTCAGCGGGGAGCCTGCTTCTCCCTCTCCCACTCCCCCCTGCTTGTGTTCCCGCTCTCACTCTGTCAAATAAATAAATAAAATCTTTAAAAAAAAAAAATCAAAGTGTTGGCATTTTCTCAGGAGAACCATCTCATTTCGTTCCCGCTTCCAATTATTCAAGGACTTACCAAGCGTCCACTCTCCCAGGTGTTTGGGGTACAGCAGTGACGAGCCCTGAAGAATTCCTGCCCTCATAGAGTGACTTCTGCCTCCTAAGACAGCTGAGAGGGCACATTGAGAAGTTTCAATGAGATAAAGCATCACATTTTCTTTTTTTTTTTGAAAAGCTGCTTTATTGAAACACACCTCACGTACAGAAAAGTGTACAGATCATTTGATGAATTTTCACGCCCTGAACACATCCACATAACCAGCACTGAGATGAACATGGGATTTTCAGCTCCCAAAAGGCCCCCTTCTGCATCCTTCCATCACTATTTCTTACCGAACCCATTTTTCTCAGTCTAATGGGGACTCTCTCCTGTAGGAACTCTGCTTTTCGGAATTTTCTGCTCATTCAGCACCCATCTCAGGCAATACTCCACAGTGTGGAAAGGCAAGTCTGATCTCAAGCCCCTCCCAGATAAAAACTGTACAGATGGATGCTGAGAATTTGGAAATTGATTTTTTAAAAAATAATGGTTCTCAAAGTGTGGTTCCTGGACCAGCAGCATCAGTATCACCTGGGAACTCATTAGAAATGCAAATTCTTGAATCACATCCCAGACTTACGGAACAGGAAACTCTCCGAGTGGGGCCCTGCAAACTTAAAATAAGCCCTCCAGGGGATTCTGTTACACGCTCAAGTTTGAGAGCTATTGGGTTAAGATAATGATTGCACGGTAGTTCTTAAAAGCGTGTCCCCCAGACAAGCAGAATCAGCATCACCTGGGAATTTAGGAAGGCAAAATATCAGGTCCCATCCCCCCCAGAAACTGTTTTACACCTCATTCAGGGGATGCGATGAAAGCTTGAATTTGAGAAGCAATGCCTAGAGCTGTACTTTTTTTTTTATTATGTTATGTTAGTCACCCTATGCCTAGAGCTGTACTTGCTTGACCACTGGGAGAGCCTCATGCACTCCAGGGGTTCCTGTACCCTCGCTGTAAAGCCTGCTTCATAGGGTATGAGAACAATTAGTTGGATTTCTAGTCACTAATACAGTGCCTGGCTCATATTGGTGCTCAGTGAGTGTTTGTTGAATGAGTTAACCTAATACTCAACAACAAGCCTGTGAAACAGGAAGTCAAGCGGATACAGGATCCGAACCCCCGGGCCGACTGGCCTTAAGAGTACGCAGACTTGACGGAACCGGACTTCCACTGCGCAAGGCGGCGCCTCCACTCCCATTCCCCCTCCGCCCGGGAGGTGGCGCTCTAGGGCGCCCGCGGAGGCCAGGCTGGTAGGCGGGACTTCCTGCTTTCGAGGGAGCACCTCCGGCCCGGCCCGGAAGACCGTTAATTTCCCCGGTGCTGCCGTTCCATCCCGGCCGCTGGAGTCGGGGTGTAGTTGGCCGGCTCCCTCGTGGCTCGCGGGTCGACCGAGCGTCCCGCGCAGGTCCAAGTCCTCGACGAGCACAGCGGGGCCTGGGCCACGTAAGCGCGCGCGCCGGCGGGACGGCGGGGGCGCGGGGTCCCCCGGCCGGGAGCGGAGCTCGGGCTTGGCCTTTGCGCGGGTCCGCGGGCGCCACGCTCTGTGACTTTGGGACACATCGCCCGACAGCTGCACGGTGGGTCGTCAGCTCCTACCTCACGGAGCGGGAGGACCCCACAGATGCAAAGCGTGGCGGCAGCTGTCCGGCACACAGAGAGGTGCCCGCGGGGTCTCTGCGGTGGTCGGGGGCTCCACCCGCGCCCTCTGCCTGCCTGGTTTTGTTTGAAGCTCATTCACTTCTGGGTTTGTTCTTTCAATTTCTATGTACTAATTGTTGCAATGGAGCAAATACCGAGGCATTGGGAAGAAATGAAGTCCCTCTCCCATGGGGACTGTTAGAGCAGTTTGGAATCAGATAGTTTCATCTTTAAATATCTAATCACACACTGCAGTGCGTGCTCTGGGGGAAGGGTGCAGGTGTTGGGAGGAGAGAACCTGCGGGAGGCCTGCGGTCTGAAAATCTGAAGGATGAGTAGGATTTTGTAGTTGGATGGGAAGGGTGCTGGCGTTCATTCTAAGCGGAGAGATGGTTTGCAGTGAAAAGTATGGTGAGGAAATCCCAAAGGAGGTCAGTGTGATTGGAGCTCAGGCGCGAGAGAGGAGCTAGAGGTGAGCTGGAGCCGCTTGTTTGGAGACATGCGCATGCTGGTTTATCAGGGATGCGACCGCCCCTGGGAGGCGTGGGTGCTCATAACTGCAGTCAGGACCCTGCGTCCTGTACTGGCCAGTGTTTCGCACAAGGATTCACTGAGCACTTCTTGATTCGTGCCACTGCCCTCTCCTGTTATGGGAAAGAGAGTGAGGGCTTCAGCCGGACTCCAGGAACTCAGGAGTGAATCAGATACAGTCCCTGCCTTAGGAGAGCTCCCAGTCTCAGGAAAGAGATAAGGCTATACAGGGAGACCACAATTAGAGCGAGGCTGGTGTGCCGTAAGATAAACCTGTTCGTTCATTGAGAAGCATTACTGGCTTTTACTGCATGACGGGTATTTTGCGCGCTGCTGAGAGTACGTGGATGTGTGCAGGTTACAGAATAAATCAGCCAAATGCAGTGGCAGTTCCAAAGGAAAAGATTTTTGTTTACCAAGGCTAATGCTGGTGTTTGCTTGTGGATGCCTGGGAGTGGAGTGGTGCAGAACTTGAGACTTTGAATTGGATGGGAGATCAAGCTGTTGGCCTTGGGGGTTTGCTGTTCCCCGAGCTTTAGTTTCCTGAACTCCAGAATAGGGAAAACAGACAAATAAAAGAGCTAGCCCAGCACTTGCAGCTGCTGCTGTTCAGAAAGTGAACCCTGCTGTTATTTTTGTGGTTAATAAAAGAAGGGGGATGGTGTGGCTGCTTATTTTTCTAGCGCAGTTTGAATTTGGCAAAACCCTTTGACGTAAATTTACTGTTATTCAACACAGAGTCAGTTGCATTTTCCACAAGGTACTATGCTTGAAAGTGGGAAGGCAGACGAATAAGACTCTGTGCTGGCTTTGGGGGAACTGGAGTTGGTCTTGGGAGTGTAGCCTGGGGTGTAAGGTGCATAGTCTACCAACGAGTGCTTGGAATACAGGAGAGCTATAGTAGAAGCTGCCCCCCACCACCTGTCTGACTTCATCCCCCTCCCATTCTCCTCCTCGTTCACCCTGTGGCCTTCCAGCTGTTTCTCACACTTTCCTGCCCCAGGACTTTGGCACTTGCTGTTCATTCTGCCGGGACCCCTCGTCCCAGTTGTTGGCATGGTTCTGTTCCTCATTAGGTTCAGGCTGTGCCAAATGCCCCCTTCTGAGCGAGGCTTTCCCTGGCTTCCGCTGCCCATCACCATTGCCATCCCCTGCCTCATGCTTGGTTGGTTGGTTGGTTTTAATATTAGCACTTATTAATATCTGGCAGTAAGCTGCATATTTATTTGTTCTTTATTATCTACCTTCTGAAATAAAATATGAAATATAGTCCTGTTAGGGCAGTTTTTACTCTCCCAGGAACTCTGGAAGGCATGCTCAGATTCAAGTTTCTGAGAAGACGTGATGTGTGGTTCTTGTTTTCCAGGATGGACTTCCCCAGCTCCCTCCAACCCACGCTGTTCATGACTGGCCCCCTTGGTCTGAGTAATGTTCCTGACATGTCCTTCATGTGTAGCTGGAGAGACGCCCTGACCCTGCCAGAGTCACTGCCCGAGAACTTTAAGGTGAGCGTGGCGGGGAGAGCCCTGGCTGTGGCCCCTTTCTGGCCCCCCCTTCCCAGCACTCACACCAGGTGTCGGGCTCAGGTGGGGTGGCACTGGCACTAATCTGCCAAGACACAGGTGAGCCAGAATCTTCATTTGGGGTTGCCGGGGACCCGCTCTCCACAGAGGGTTTCCTGAGCACGGGCTGCCGCCCCTCCCTCCATCTTCCTCTCCTGCCTTTGCTCAGTCGATGCTCACCGATGAGCCCCTGCCACGCGCAGGGGGGCCTCATTAGGCCCTGGGAATCCAGCGTGAGTAAGTCAGAGGCATCCCCTGCCCTGTGGAACTTAGGGTTAGGGCCAGTGGGACCAAGCGACCAAAGGATAGAATCGTCACCCTGTGTGATAAGAGCTCAGCCTGAAACCCAGAGGATGCTCACATAGCACGGTGGGGAGGAAGCCGGGGGAGGAGAGCCCTCCCAGGACAGGAAGGACAAGGGCCTTTTCCTGGACGCCTAAGCCATCTGGCTCCCACTTGGAGACAGGCTGCTTAAGGATGATGCCACGCGGATTGGGGGGGGGGGTGTCCCTGACAAGGAAGGGCTTAATGTCCATTCGGTCCCCTCTGGGAGCCCAGCTCGCTGGCGCTTGTACCCCTGAGTGTTGGAGCTGCGTGGTCTTGGGCCGGCCCCGCCCTGGGGAGTGGAGTCGCCTGTGGGCTCCCCGAGTCAGTAACCACGAGTTCTCCTGAGTGGAAGTGAGAATCAGGCGGCACTTGGGTCAGCCGGTCATGGCACAGGGCTGGGTGGGGGAGTGCTGCAGCTCAGAGGCAGGGACTGGCCCCAGGCTCCCAGCCCTTCTCTTAACCAGCTGTTGCCCGGGACGAGCCTCCCCGTGCCTCCACTGCTTCACCCCAGTGACTGTTGTACCAATGAGTTAGTAAGATACGTGCTTACAAATTAAAAAGAAATGAAGAGGCACCTGGCTGGCTCAGTCGGTAGAGGATGCAACTCTTGATCTCAGGGTCGTGAGTTCAAGCCCCATGCTGGGCGTGAAGCCTACTTAAAACAAAACTTAAAAAACAAATAAAAAATTAAAAGACACGTGCCAGCACCCGCACCTCGCCGCACCTCGCCTGGGACCGCACTCACTGTGTTCCTTTCGGGCTTGTGTTTCCTCAGAATGAGGCGCCACACTTGGCCACGGGCCTACTCTGGGAGCCAGAGACCCCTGGACCCCTTCCTTTGCTGCCTCCTGGTCCCGGTAAGGGTCTTGGGCCCTGGGGCTCCCTTCCAAGCCATTCCCCCTGTCACTTCTGTCCCCCACCTCCCACCCAAAGGCCTTCCCTCTCCCTGCTGGTGACCTCCAGTCATCTGGGGTACCTGGCCCCACTTCTGGGCCGTCTCCGGTTCCCGAACAAACCCCTTCTCCAGCCTCACTTTTCCCTCAGATCCCTGGGACCCTGGGGTGACTGCCCAGGACCTGCTTTTCCGGGGAGCTTTCCCGTTCCGAAGGAGGCCCCAAGCCGTGCTAGACGTTACCGAACAGGTGAGTAGCCCCACAGTGGGCAGTGCTGAGTGGTGGGGGCTGTGCGCGGTGACCCAGCCTCCTCTCCCGCAGCTCAGCCGCTTCCTGTGGGACCATGGGGACATAGCCTTTGCACCCCTGGGGAAGCTGATGCTGGAGAATTTCAAACTGGAGGGAGCACGGGTGAGTAACCCCTGTCCAGCCAGGAAAGGGGGCTCTGCACTTGTCGGGGTAACCTCGGGTGTGCGAGCTTGACAAGGCCTTTCCACACAGAGCCGTTCTAAGAAGAAGACAGTGGTCAGTGTGAAGAGTCTACTCCAGGACCTCGGTGGACACCAGCCCTGGGGGCAAGTGGCTAGTGAGAAAGGACGGGCTGGGAAGGCCTAGCTGGGGTGGTGTGGAAGCAGCCAGGGCACCGATCCAGGGTCCCCTCAGAGTTGTTTCCTCTGCCCCATGTGGTCAGGGGCCACAGTTCCTCACACCAAGCTCCAGCTCTAAGTGGAAGGGGGAATTAGATTTATGGGCTGCAGGCATGGTTGCATCTACGTGTTCAAATAACGTTACTAGGGCTCTGTCTCTTTATTTTCCTCTTCACTTGGCTTTGTTTGGCTTAATTCCTCGACACACTGTTCCTAAGCGGCAGTGAGATGGCTTATGATCTCAAGGAAGAAGCTAGTGTTTTCCCTGAGGCACCAGCAAAAGCCCTGGGAAGGGTGTGGTTGGTGTGGCCTTTGTGTCTGGCTCCTCCATGAGCCGATCACTGTGGCCAGAGGCGACCTATGACCACCCTTGCAGCAGGGACTAGGGCGGAATCATTTCCCAAAGGAAGAAATTCTAGGTTGATTAAAAAAAATGCATCTGCTGGCCTGGCCTCTCTTGGGATGGGACCTAGTCCTCCCCTCCGTCACCGTCACCGCCTGATCCTCCTGCCATTCCCTCGTCCCCAGCTGCCCCTGGGCTTTCCTCAGCTACCGACAGCGCCGGTTCTCCATCATCGGGGGCCCTGTCCTGGGCAAGTCAGTGGCCAGCCTCCTGGGGGAGCTGCTGCACGAGGAGCTGGCCATGCGGTGGGAGCAACTGCTCCTGGACGATGCATTCACTGGGGGCGCTTTGGCCTGGGTGCCCGGGAGGACGCCGCAGGTGGGACAGTTGGTCTACCCCGCAGGAGGTGCTCTAGACACGCTCTGTATCCTTTTGCAGGGGGCAGGAGGGGGTGGAGGAGGCTCCCTCTGGTGGAGGAGGTGCTCTCGGCGTGGTCCAGGAGAATGGCAGGATGTCGGGGGACTTGCAGTGAGTGGAGCTCATACACTTGTCCTTAGCCAGAGGCCCAGGTTTCCAAGAGGTCCGTCTGCCCCCAGGCGGTCACCCTCAGGCTCTCGGGGACCCTGGCCACATCCAGCTCCGAGGACCTGTCCGGCAGGTGGTGACCCGCACTGTGCAAGGGGAATGTGAGTCCCCTGGACACCTCCCTCTCCCTCTGCCTCCCTCCCTCCCTCAATGACTTGCTACCTAACTCTGACCCTCTCCATCCCACAGCCCTGCTGGCTGTCCGCTCTGACTACCACTGTGCCCTGTGGAAGGTCAGCAAGCAGGGGCGAGCTGCCCCTCTCCAGGTGCTGCAGGTCGGGAAGGGGGCCACGGGGATCAGCCTCAGGTGAGGGGCTCAGTCGGGCTGGTGTGCACGGAGCTGGGCTTGGGAAAAGGGGGGGGCGGTCCGCTGACCTTGCCTGTGCCCTGCAGCCCTCACCTGCCTGGGGAGCTGGCTGTCTGCAGCCGTTCTGGAGCCGTCTGTCTGTGGACCCCCCAGGATGGGTAATGCCCCTTTCCTGTGAAAATCCTCCACTGCTATAAACAGCTCCCCCCAAAACCACAGCCTGTGCTCCCCGTGCAACGTGTCCGGACCCCGCCCCCCCCCCCACATCAGCCCAACACGGCTGGCCTATCTCCCCAAGGCTGCAGCAAGTCTACAAGGACCCTGAGACCCTTGTGTTCTGTGACCCCTCTCCCTGGCGTTGGGCAGACTTCACCGCTCATCCCCGGGTGCTGACTGTGGGGGACCGCACTGGAGTGAAAATTGTCGACACTCAGGTGAGCGGAGGGGACCGTCCTAGGCATAGCAGTGGGACAGAACAGATACATGGGGGAGGGCTGGGGCCGGGGATCTTCCCCAGAGGGCGTGAAGGGCTGCAGGGCCATGAGCCTGGCCCGCCTGGTGGGGGGACTGGCGGGGGTCTTGCCACAGCCCCGGGCTGTGGGAGGGCTGACCTGGGACTCTCACCCAGGGCCCACCCGGCTGTGGTCTGCTGCTTTTCCGTGGGGGGGCAGAAGCGTCATGTCGCAGAGGGGAACGTGTCCTGTTGACCCAGTACTTGGGGGAGTGCGGCCCCGAGCCTCAGCTTCCCACCCTCCATCTCATCTGTACGCAGGTGAGCAGCGCCCTCCCCTCCTCTCCCCTGCGCACTGTCAGAGGGGACAACTCAGGCAAAACGGGGATTGGGAGACTCTGATGAGTCTGCGGTTGGACGGTTGGACTGCGCTACCAGGCGGGGGGCTAAGGCCTCACGGGGGGGGGGGGGGAGGTGTCACCCGGAGCTTTATGGAGGGCCCGTGGGGAAGGAGGAGAGGCATGGGGTGTCGGGGAGCGGTCTGTGCGCAGTGGGACAGTTTCCCTGTGCGCTGAGGAAAAGGGGAAGCAGTCTGAGGGTCTGTTCCCCACCCACCCCCCAGGACCCCGGGGTGTTAGCAGGTGTGTCTTGAACACAGGTTCCAGGGTTGGACGGGTTCGGGGAGGGCCTGGGGCAGGCCAGGGGGGTTTCTGTGTCACAAGACTGCTCTGTACCTTTCCTGAGAGTCACTCCCATGTGGCGCTCCAAGTGATACACCCAGGAAATGATGCCCTCCATGTGGTGCTACGTAGTGGGGACGGGGGTGGGAGGCGTCGGGGCGGTCATGGTGCCGGGACAGCTCTGGGGCTTGAACTCCTCTTGAGAGCCACACAGAGCAGCTTGTCCCGTCAGACACCTTCCTCCCGCCTCACGGCTCAGTCACGGCCCCCTTCGGTCATGGTCCCCCACACACACGCCCGCGCACCCACCCTCATCGTGGCCTGCCTCGGTTGCTGCAACCCCCCGTTTGTTCTCCCCCTCGGTCACCGCCTCCCCTTACAACCCCCCATTCACCCCCCATCGTAGCGTCCTTCAGTGTGGCCTTGTGCCCGCCACACGTCTCCCCCTTCACAGCCCTCCCCCTGCCCTGTGTCGTCCCCCCTCCCCGCCCTCCCCCCTCCCCAGGTTCTTCCTCAGTCACCGCCCTGCGTCTTGCTTCTTGTCTTGTTTCCTGTCACCCCCAGTTCTCGCTCTACCTGGTGGACGAGCGCCTCCCCTTGGTGCCCATGCTGAAGTGGGAGCACAACCTCCCCTCGGCTCCCCTGTGGGCCCGGCTGCTGCCCCCGCCCTGCCCTGGCTGCCCCCGGCCACTGCTCCTGGGGGGCCAGGGCGGGCACCTGCAGCTGCTGCACCTCGCAGGTACGAGTCGGGCAAGGGCGGGAGGCGAGCAGGAAGACGGGCAGGGCCTCAGCCGTCTGTCCTTCCTCCAGGAGAGGGGGCCTCTGCACCCCGGCTGGCGGGGCCCCCCCAGTCTCTCCCTTCCAGCAGCGACTCCCTCTCCGCGTTCCCCCTGCTGGAGCCCAAGAGTCAGTGGCGTCTGCAGGAGCGTCTGAAAGCGCCAACCATAGGTGCGCTGGGGCCAGGGGAAGGAGTCGGGGGGGCGGGCACCCTACTGGGCCTTGGCGTCACTGTCACTCCCCTCTCCAGGGCTGGCTGCCACCATCCCATCATCAGCTTCCGAGCCAGTCCTGTCGCTCTTCCAGCTCTCGGCGGCCGGGGATGTCTTCCACCAGCACCTCCACCTCCAGGCAGACCCCGGGCCCCACTCCCGGGCCCCCACAGCTTCCTGGACTCCCCAGGCCACTGCCTGCTGCAGTCGGTGGCTGAAGGCCCTGCTGGACGTGCCCCCGACCCCGCCTGTGTGGGCAGCACCCACATTTTCCCACCGCCGTCTGCTAGGGTGCATGGAACAGAGGAAGGTGGAGCAGAAGGGGCCGGAGGGTCTCCGAGCGGCCATGGCTGCAGGGCGGCTGCTGCGGCAGAAGGACGTGGGCTCGCCCCCGTCTGCGGGGCCGCCCCCCGCCCCCGAGCCAGGCCCTGAGGATGAGCTCAGTGCCCGTTTGGAGGCAGCCTGGCAAGGCCGCATGGCCGCCTGGTGGGAGAGGCAGCAGGGCAGGAGCTCGGGGCCCGGCAGACAGCCCAAGCGGCGCAAGCGCCGGACTCAGCTGTCCAGCACTTTCTCCTCACTCAGCGGCCGCCTGGACCTCTCAGACGCCACCAGCCCCCCTCACAGCCCAGACCGGGCGTCCCCCGAGGCCAGGCCTCGGCCACCAGTGACCCCGCCCTCCCAGGAGTCAACTCAGGAGCTGTGGGCTCGGGGGGTCCCCTCGGAGCGGCAGCAGACTCTCCGCGACTACATGGCCAGGCTGCCGCTCCGAGGGGATGCCCCACGAGGTGTCCGCTCACCCCTCTCCGGGACCTCCAGCGTCCGGGCCACGCGCTCCAGGCCCCAGACCCTGCAGGATGGCGCGGCCGAGCTGCCGCCACGGAGGAACACCCGGAGAGGTGCCGCCGTGTCCTCCTCCCAGACCTCCAGCGTCCGGGCCACGGCCTCCAGGCAGCAAGCGCTGCGGAAGAAGCCCCGCATGGGCTTCTGAGGGCCCCCGGGAAGCTGCTCCCCCAGCCCCGGGGAGCCCTTCATCCTGGACCTGCTGCGCCTTCCGTGGTTGGAAGCTGGGAAGTGAAAAGAGCACAGTCTCCAGGGCGCAGGCCTTTCTGCTTCCGGAGTAGCGGGGACAGCAATACTTGTTTCTCCTACTTGTGCTTTTGCTAGAAGACCATTCCAGAAGGCAGGCATGTTGAGAAGGCCCCAGTGGGCCTGTCCTGAAGGTCCGTGTCCTGGGGATTTCCTCCAGGGGGCGGGAGGCTGTGCTGCACAGGAGCTGGGCCTGCCACGTCCCCCCCACCCCACCCCCCCGGACGCCGGGGTGACGTAAGGGCACCAGCTCCTCGCGCTCGCGGGCAGTCCGCAGCTGCTGGTGCTGCTTAGTTTGTGTGTGTTAAGCAGTTTCTACCGTGATGCAGTGTTTTGTAGAGGGAGACACTTTGGCCCCACGTTTAGGGAGTGAATAAACGTGGCAGCTGAACGGGGCTTGAAGTGATCCGTTTCTCAGGCCGCAGCGCCACCTCCTGCCGCTTGTGATGTGTGATGCCTGAACTCACTTCCCCTGAGCGTGTGGCTCCGTGGAAGATTTTGCTCCCCTCTGGGGAAAACAGCCCCCCAGAATGTCACAGAATACCAGGATTTGATGTAGATTTCTCATCACACGTGAAGAGTGGTACCTGGTGAGAGGAATCACACAGGACTCGCGGGGATATGAAATAATCCAGTAACACACTGACTCATTGTGCTAAATGTCTGTAATGCTCAGTTACACGGCCGAGGGCACAGAGAGCAGGAGCCCGGCTGGCGTGCACTTGGAGAGGCACCAGCGGACGGGGAGCGGAGCGGCAGGTGCACGTGGCAGCCGAGGCGCCCAGCGCTCTCAGAACTGCGACTCTGGAAGGAAGGGGAGCCCAGCCAGGGGGGTGACCTGTACCCACAGGGGGTCCCTAGCTGCCGGCTCGCCGTCGCCGTTAGCCTAGGGGCAGAAGGGCCACCCTGGGGTTCAGTCCAAGCCAAATTCAATGTCCTCCCTGTCTTCTCCCGCCTCGGGTTCGGCAAGCTCCGTCTCAGACCGCGCCTCGTTCTCGTCGGTGACCTCACCTAAGCAGGAGAGAAGGTAGCTGTGTTCTCGGGGCCTGTCGTCAGCCCCTCACTTCTCCCTGCGTGCAGGCCTCGAGTCAGGTGTGCAAGCTGGTGTTGAGAAAGAAGCCTGGCTACTGGCTAGTGTCGCCTAGGAACCGCCTGGGCTCAGGAGAAGCCCAGCGACTGAACTCATCACCACACCCCACCCCGTTTGCTCATTACCTGTGAACACTGCCCTGCTTCCCCCACACGTGCCTCTCCCTGGCCATGTGCGTGGGCCCCCAGCACCGGGCCAGGCCGACCAGTTAGCTCGTGACTTGCCGCACCGAGCCCGGCACTCTGGCCACCCCCTGCCCAGTGAGCCTCCCTTCCCTGCCAGCACCACCCCGCTCAGCATTCACCCCATCCTCCACCCTCAGGCCAGCACTCACCCTCATTTTGTCCCACACTCCCTGTCGTGGTGTCACCAGAGCCCGCCCTTAGAAGCCTGGGTCTGGAGAGGCCGAGGATCAGGTGGTGTGGACGGGGGTGAAAACAGGTTTGCAAGCCCCGCCGAGACCCACGTGGCCATCGGGAGCCCTGGTGAGGCCAACCCACCCGACCAGAAGCGAGTCGGCTCTGCAGCTTCTCGGCCCAGGCCAGCAAGCGGCCATGAGCAGGGACACGATCTACAGCGGTCTCTCTGGTCTGTTGTGAGTGGCCTCCAACCCGTCGGCTGGCCCCCCGGGCTTGGATAGCGGCAGTTCCTTCCCTCCCCCCCATCTAAGCCTGGGCCCCTGTGGCCTCAAAAGTAGGGTGGTGTTACCTGGGAGAGCAGTTGGAAGTAGGTCACTGTCCCCGTCCTCACTGGAAGGGGGTGGTGTGCCGTTCTGTTGGCAGGTTGGGGGCACCGGTGGCCGGCCTGAAGCTTCCTCGCCGGGGAGCTCCTGGATCAGCGGGCGTGGGGGCTTGGTGTCTCCCCTTGGCGTTTCCGAGTCCCTCTCAGCTGCTGCTTTGCATATGTCGGTGAAGGGTGCCTCAGCCTTCCTCGCCGGGTCCCTGGGGATTGTGAATATGTTCGAAAGGGCATCTGGAGTGTCTTCCGGCACTGGGAGTGAGGAGTAGTCCAGTTCAGGGTCACTGTCATCACTCAAGCTCGAGATGGTTATTATCTTTGGAAAGTGCATCTGTTAAGAGAAAAAAAAGATGTGTGAACGTTTCTGCTTTCACGATAGTCACTATAGAATGCCCAATGCGGACGCTGCCTTTTTATTGATCATAAGATACTCTGCTGTCACATACAAGAAGGGTCTGAGGGAGCCCCACACTCTGCCCTTGGGACGTGAGACCTCAGGACCGATGCCCCTTGGCCAAATTCCCGAGCCCCCGAAGGGGTGGTGAGCTCTCCAGCAGGGCTCCTCTCCGGCCCTCCATCGGGGGTCCAGCCACACTCCCCTCGCCCACTCTGCACCTGCCACCCCAGCACCCTCCTGGGCTTCCGGGTCGGCTCCACTCGGAGCCTCGGCCTCCGGCTGGCATGTGCCCCACGGGACGTAGCCCCCTTGGAGAGGAGTCCTCCATGGGAACTGTGGGCTCGTGCGTGCTTCCTTCCTTGGCGATGAGCTCCTGCCCAGAGATGGTGTCTTACGCTGTCCTCGCAGTGCCCATCTGTGCAGGAGTACCCCCATGCTGCCTCGTACACTCTCCTTCCCCTTCCCCGTCTGTGTGTCACTACGGGACAGGCATTCTGAAAATGAACACCTCCCACGTCAGAAGGACAGAAAATTGTTCCCAGGTACTCGTATGCGATGAGCCGTTGTTAAAAATCAGTGCCAGATGTGTGTTCAGGAAGACCCAAGGGCTTAACCATAAGACCTGACGCGAGTGAGCAGCTGCACTTGCTTTGGAGAGGGGAGACCCGGGGGTTGCAGGCCAGGAGCGCCTGACGTGCATAAAGGAGCCGTGCTTTGTGAGTAACGGGACTGGAGTGACAGTGACATAGGGCTGACTGGGGACGCGGGGCTGATGACCTGGTCCTGGCCTTCCGGAGCCTCGCCTGTGTCAGCGTCTTCCAAGTCAGGCAGGTCCTGGAAGAACAAACAAGCTCCTGTCACCCGGCAGCAGGCGCAGGGTCGTGCGAGCCGGGGTCATGTGCAAGCCGAGAGTGCAGGAGGAACGAGGAAGGCCCTGAAGCCCTCAGGCAGGCCGTGCACACTTGCAGCGCGCACGCAGCGCCAGCCCGGATACCTGGACCTCAGCGATGACAGAGGTCGGCAGGAATGCCTTTGTCATCAAAGACCCAGCCAGTGCATGGGGGGGCCAGGGGGAGGCAGACAATGGGGCCCAAGCCAGAGGCGCGGCCTAGGACTCTGTGGTGTAATGTGAGTGTGGTTCGGGCCTCCCCACGACCGGGGCGGGGGCAGCACGGGGGGCCCTCCTGTCGTGGGTTTGTATCTTCACAGCCACCAGGCCAGCACGCGAGGCAGGCAGCGCAGCGTGCAGTTAGATGGAGGGGCTCGAGCCATGCCGCCTTGCTTGGCATCCCTGCCCCTCCAGGCTTGGCTGTGGAGCCTCGGGCAAGTTGCTTCGCCTGTCTCTTTCTCAGTCCCCTCGTCTGTGAAATGGGGATGGCGATGGTACCTACCACCTCTGAGACTTACTGGAAGGTTCAGTCAATCAAACATGATCTGCCTCGAACAGTGCCAGGCAGAATGAGAACCGTAAGTTCTGGTCGTCCCGGACATAGCTGCTTCTCGCTCCCCAGTGTTTCTTACCACACATGGGCTCCGAGAGCTAGAAGCCCTCTCTGCACACTGACTGCCCAGTGCGAGTCTTACTGAGCCACGTGAAACTGCGCAGCTTACCAGGGAAGTGGGCGGCGGCAGGCAAAACCGTGGGCTGTCCTTCCCGGGGCCCTGAGGGAGCCCCAGCTGCCCACTGGCCATGAGGCTGGGTGGGTGACAGATGCCTCCCCGCTCCTTGCCCCCCCACAAGCACGCTTCCTGGGGGTGGCGAGGAAATGTGTGAACTCCCATGGTATCTGCTCCTGCGACAGTTCCCAAATGGGAAGGGCTGGGAGGAGCGGAGGAAGCCCAAGCGGCAAGAGACCAGACGGCTGGCTGTGGAGGGGTGGAGGCCCCGCTGATAGATGTCCCGTTCTCAACGGTCCTGCAGAAGGCTCTCTGGACAGAGTTGCTTTGCCATGTGACTTCGGGGAAAACAAATCCGGTTTTGCAGAGGGAGCTGGAGGGGGACACCTGGGCCAGCATCGCTCAGTCTCGAAGGTGCATGTGTATGAGCACCCGGGGGGATCATGTTACGGGGCCGCTCTGGCCCGAGGTCTCGGGGATGCCAAGTCTGTTGGCCACGGAGCACACTTTGGCTAGTGCGGATTTGGAGGGTTTCTGTGTGATCTGATACCAACTGTGAAGCAGACCCCTCTCCGCAGACACAGCTATTTACGTACGTCGATGAAGAGCTTCTTCTCCACCTCCAGTTTGATAGTCTCCAAATCCTCGTCGGCACCCAGTTCTGTGCCTGCTGCACCCGCGGCGGCCACAGTCTGGGGGGCCGGTTCTAAGAACAACAACACAGAGTTATTCACCTGGGGGCGAGTCTTATGAGCAGTGGTCAGGCTGACAAGCCCAAGAGCGGAGGGAGGCCAGGCCCTGGGACAGAAGCCGCGAGAATCCCCCCGTTAGGACAGGGTTCCGTCTTAGAAGAAAGGAGAGGGGGAGGAGAGAGCCACCCTCTGGCTGGAACTTGGCCGTGACTCCGACAAGATGAAAGTACCAGCCAGGGAGCAGGTGCCAGGAAAAGGCCTGGTTTGTGGGCAAGGAAATAAAGGTCACCTGGGGAGGTGGAGGGGCAGGCAGGCTGGAGAGTCCAGCGTCGCGGCCCGGCCCAAGAGGGGCTGAGCCCACCACCCGCGGGGACCGCCTGTCCCTGGTGGTGGTGCGAGTGTCCGGGAGGCCCCGTAAATAACGAAGGGATGGGCGCCTGGGTGGCTGAGTCAGTGAGGCGTCTGCCTTCGGCTCGGGTCATGATCCTGGGGTCCTGGGATCGAGCCCCAAGTAGGGCTCCCTGCTCCGCGGGGAATCCTCCTCCCTCCGCTGCCCATTTGTGCTCTCTCTTGCTATCGGTCTCTCCCTCTCAAATAAATAAAATGTTAACAAAAATAATGCAGGGTTACCTGCATATGTGGAATTGGGATGGGTTCTTCTTCCTACTCCAGGCTCCCACTTTTTTTTTTTTTAAAGATTTTATTTATTTATCTGAGAGAGAGAGAATGAGAGGCAGAGAGCACGAGAGGGAAGAGGGTCAGAGGGAGAAGCAGACTCCCCACCGAGCAGGGAGCCCGACGCGGGACTCGATCCCGGGACTCCAGGATCACGACCTGAGCCGAAGGCAGTTGCCCAACCGACTGAGCCCCCCGGGCGCCCCAGGCTCCCACTTTTTGAGGTCCCCAAGACCCTATCCTTGGGTCCTGTTCCCTCCCTGCTCTTCAGTCTTGTGGCTTCTGTTATTAGAGATCACGGCTCAACTTTCCTCGTCACACGTGGGTCCAGTGTGTCCAGTTTGGCTCCGAGACTCCCAAAGGGCCTCTGTGGTTGCTGCTGTGGATGAGCCCAGGCCGGTCCCTCCGGACCTTCCCTCGCTAGGCCCAGCGGTCACGGTCTCCACGTGGCCATCCCTGTGGCTTCTCTGATTCGTAATTACTACCCTGGTCTGCTTCCTCTCCGGTCAGCCCTTCCTCCTGCACCCCTTGTCCTGCTCATGGCGCCGTGGTCTCCAACTTCCCAGCCACCAGAAGCTTGTCAAGGCAGCGGCTGGGTCCCTTTTTTCCCTAAGAACAATCTGCTTAGGCTTTGTTTTGGGAAAAGGTAAAGCAGGGAAGAGATGAACAATTATTGGGGGCATGGCTGACGTACATCATTCAATCCATGGCAGAGACTTTCCATTTCACAGAGGCTGAAACAGGCTCCCAGAGATCTGGGGGTTTGCCTGAGGTCACTCAGCTGATGGGAGGGGTTGGACATGGCTTTGACCTCAGGGTATCTGTCTAGAACCCGTACTGCCTGGCCTCTCCACAGGGCGTCCTAGTGAGGCATGTGTGTGGTTCTCAGACCATGTTGGAGACCACCAGACAGCAGCCAAAGGCCTCCTAGGGAGAGTGGAATGAGGCGGGAGAGGCTGTGGTTTCCCCGATGGTGCACGCGCGCTCTCTGCCCTGAGATGCCGACTTCCGCCCGGGGTTGGGGAGGGGACTCAGGCACTGAGTCCCAACTCGCTTCTCCGCGAGCTGGCACTGACTCCTGATTGCATGAGGAGGTCCCAGACTTTGCATAGAAAATGCAGAAGAGCTGCTCACGTCGGTTAGCTCCTCGTCCCCCCCCCCCCCCCACCTATGAGGAAAGGCAGTCCAATGTGGGAAAGGCGAATGGAAAGTAATTTTTTAAACAGAAGGTTTTTATGTGTAGATTCGCCTTTCTTGGGGCTGAGTCATTTGAATCAAAGTGGAAGAAGCTCAGTTCAGCTTCTCGGGCTGCCCGACACCCAGAGGGGTGAGCTCAGGAGGGGCAGAGAGCAGAGGCCCGGGCAGGCAGAACGAGGGTAAATGAGGGCAGTCTCTGCAGGCGGTGCTCTCTCCAGTCCCCCGTCCCCCGTCCCCCGTCCACCATGTGCTCGCTCTCCACTTGGAGCAAGTTCCCTCACCCCTCTGAGCCTCTGTTTCCACTTCCATAAGATGGGGCCACACAAGACCAGCCTGGGAACCTCTGGTCATCACCGCGCACCATGCATGTCGGGTAAACAGAGCTGGCAGTGTCCTGCTCCAGACCACCAGCTCCCCTTCAAAGGCGCCCTCCTTCCTTTCAGGGTGGCAAAGGCTGGGGTCCCTCTCTGGCCGCTCTGCTCCCACACCAGGTGCAGCTTCCAAGCAAAGGCTCCCGGGAGGGGCGAGCGTGCAGGGGAGTGCAGGGTGCCACCCACTCAGCAGCAGTTCCCTACCTTCGCAGGCAGCCGCGGGGGCGGCTGGCTTGAGGGCCTCCTCCAGGTGCAGCCCCTCTGGCGCCCGGCCTTCTCTCTCTCCGCCGACCTCCACCAGCAGCTCCTCCTTGGCCTCGAAGCTCTCCCTGACAAACAGCTCCATTTTCTGCTGCCTCTCCCCCTCCTCACAAGGCTTTTCCTTCACTGGCACATTGGCATCCACATTCTTGCTCTCCTCCGGCGCCGGCTCCTCCCCTGAACAGGAGAAATCCAAGGGTGAGCCAGGAAACGGTCTGGGAGGGCAGGGGGCTCAGGGCGTCTCTTGGGGACATGCAGCGAACTGCTGGGGGTGAGCTTGAGGACGCAGCGGAGGGGTCCGTCAAAGTGTGCGCTGAGCACTGAGGAAGCAGCGCTCAGTGTCCACGGTGGCGGGGGGGGGGGGGCGCTCAGCACATCCGTCTAGTGGCACAGGACATGCCTAAAGACCGTGCAGGGGGCTCTTAGGAGATGTACACAGAAGCACTGGCGCTTATGGGCCTCGACGTCTACCTTGACTTTGAAGTGTCTTGGCAGAACAGGAGTGTGCATGCGTGTGTGTGTGTGTGAGAGAGAGAGAGAGAGAAAATGTTGAACACCATCCAATCTAAGCGGACACAATACAGCTGTTTGTTTCACTATTCTTTAAGCTTTTCTGAAACTTGGAAAAATACCAAAATAAAAAGCTTGGAACAGGAAAAATGCTATAGGAGAATGTCTACTTTATGGAAAATACATTATGCTAATTTAAAACAATAGGCAGAAAGCAATATAGTTATGCCATTGTTCTATAAAAATCCATAAATGTTACATGCATGGGGAAAAGCCAGGAAATGCTGGGTGGTTCTTGCTGCAATTGTTATTACTGGTGCTTTCTTGTTTTCTATGTGTGGTTGCGTTCACATTTTGTAGTTAGGTGAGAAACACTAAATGTCACATTTAAAAAACACACATGGAGACCCCAGCTCCTCTACTGGGTATAGGATGAGGACAGGGTTCTTACTTACTAAGGTGGTCTGAGGACTGTCCCTAGAATTCTGTGCCGAGCTTGGACCAATGCAGACCCAGGGTTCACTCTCTGCCTAGAAGCCTTTACCAAATGCCGGCCAGCGGCATCGGGTGTGGGCAGGTGACTCTGAGCTCTGGATTTGGGGTAGTAGATTGGGGAGGCAGCGGGGGGTCATTTACCCATAACCTGGGAGTAGACAGAGTCTTGAAACTGGGTGAGAGAGGGCAAGGCAGGGAGACAGGTTCTGAGATCCTGGAAGAGACCAGCTGGGCCGAGAGCATTTCCCAGGCCTCCCTGGTCCTGCCGAGCCAGGAATCGGGTGATCCGAACCTTTCGAGGGTTTGGCTGCCCAGACTGTCAGCTCTAGTCGGAGCTAAGCAGAGGGAGCACCGTCTATGCCACAGAGAAGGTGTGCTGCTACCATCCCAAGTTCACAGAACTGAACTGTCGAGGTGGGCCATTAAAAGAAATGAAGTACTGATCATGTGATCACCTGGAGGAACCCCAAAGCGCCAGGCCAGGTGAGAGAAGCCAGACGCAAAAGGTCCCGTCAAGCGGAGAGCACCATGTATATGAAGCATCCAAAAACATGGGTGGTTGTTGGGGGCTGGGGGTGGACAGCATGGGGGGTCACTGCTCACCGGCACAGGGTTTTATTCTGGGGTGATGACAAAGTTTTGGAAGTAGACAGAGGTGCTGGTGGCTCCACGCAGTGATCGTACCACAGCAAAACGGTTAATTGTATGTTATGTGAATTTCATGTCACTTAAAAAAAAAGGTCCAGGGCCTCCATGTTTTTCCACGGTGATTCTCCGGCACCAGGGCTACAGCAGTCTGCTTGGCCCCCAGCATAGGCCACCTTGCCCCTACATAAGCCACCAAGCTCACGCCGCTAGCATCACTTCATGGCCCATGACCTCCTGTCACCTGCCATGGCAGGGCTGGTTTTCAAGGCCCTTCCTGATGTGATGTCGTCCAACCCAGTAACCTTATTTGATTTCCCAGTTTACAACTGAATTCCAAACACGGGCACCTGGTTCTCCTCTGCACCTCCCCAGGGAAACTGTGGGCTCCTCAGAGGAGCGGAACCCTGTGCTCTCCCTGTTGGCATGTGGGACAATGTCTGTGCGCTTGGCCCTCAGGCGAGGAAGTACGCGGACGTGTGTGTGCCAAAACCTGTTTCTTTACCCGCCCCCGCCCCCACAACACGGGCAGAGACCACTTTCTGTGTGCAGACAAACGGTGGATTTAAAGGAGCAGTAGTAGGAACAGAAAACCTTAATAACTGTGTGACTGAGATACGGGAGGAAGGCGCAGACTGAGCCCCTGGTCCAGATGCTGGCTGGTGTTAGTGCCGTCAATGGCCCTATGAGGGGTCAGTTAAAATCAGTACACCCCCACACTGCTTTGACAGGAATTCATAATATTCCTTTGTGATAGATGGAATAATGGCCCCACTAAGGTGTCCGCATCCTAATCCCAGAACCTGTCAGTATGTGACCTCACATAGTAAAAGGCACTTTGCCGAAGAGATTAAGGACCCTGAGACGGGGCGATGATCCTAGATTATCCGGGTGGGCTCAGTGGCCCCACATGGATCCTTAAGAGAGGGGGGCGGGGCGTCAGAGCTGGAGAGAGGTTTGAAGGTCCTGCAGAGGAAGGTGGAGGGGCCACAGGCCCAGGGACATGGGCCCCTCTAGAAGCTCCCCGGGAGTTTCCAGAAGGAACACAACCCTGCCCATACCTTGATTTTAGCCCTGTGAGACGCACGTCAGACTTTTGACCTACAAAGCTGTGATGATAAATGTGTTGTTTTAAGCCCCTAAGTTTACGGTAAGTCGTTAGGATAGTCCTAGAAAACGAATACATCATTTATTTTGGAAAACTGAGGCTATTTGAACAGAACTGCGCTTCCATCCCTGAAAGTGGATTGAAACTGCCTATTAATGCTGGGGCTCTTCCCAACCCTTGGCAGGTGGGTGAGGCCGTGTGCGCATGGATCCTCGCATGTGTGTGAATGAACGATCAGAAGTAAATCCCCGAGATGAAAGACCAAGTTCACCAGCCTAGATTCCTAGTCTCAACGGAGCCCTGGGTGCTGCTCCCATGGCGAGCGCCTACCTTCCTCCTGGCTGGCTTTCTGCCACCTTCTCTCTTCCGCCTGCTGCTTGATCATCGCTAGGGCCTCAATGCTGTCCTCGATCTTCTTCCGCTCTCGGCTCTCCCATTGCTGTCTCTCCTCTTTCTCAGCTGCAAGCCCACCCCTGGCCCAGGCCTCTGCACAGGCTCTGTGGATGAGGACAAAGAAACAGAAACTGGGGAGGTTTGAATGTTCACAGGTTAAAAGCAAATTCAAAACAGACTGTCTCACCAAACTCGCTCATTTCCCCCAAACCAAACTGAAGGCACACGGGACGTGTGGCCACAAGGTTACTGGCTAATACGTGCACACCTCGCCCCTTAATGGTTTGCAGAGCCTTCTCCATGTGATGCCAACAGCACCAGCGATAAAAGGAAAAATAGAGAAGTCGGACTCCATCGAAACTAAAAATATTTGTAACACAAAGAACGCCATAAACAAAGTAAAAGACAACCCACGGAAAGTGGGAAGGTCTCTGCAGATCATACACCTGCTGAGGGACATGTATATAGAATACATAAAGAACTTCCATGACTCACGACTACAAAGACAACACAATCTAAAAATAGAGGAAGTTTAAAAGAATGAAATGAGAAGCCACGGACTGGGAGAAAATATTTGCAGGAAAGATAACTGATAAATGGTTTATATCCAAAACAGACAACTATGAAGCCTCAAAACAAAACAAAACAAAAAGAATGCACAGTTAAAAAAAAAAAAAGTGGGAAATGACCTAGACACCTCACCAAAGAAGACAGGCAGGTGGCAAAGGAGCTCAGCACGCTTCGACATGGGGGAACTGTGGGTTACAACAGTGAGGTACCGCATCATGCCTGTTAGAATGGCTGAAATCCGAAACCCTGCCACCAGACGCTGGCGAGGACGTGGCTACTCATCCTGCTGGGAACGCAGGCCCGTGCAGCCAGCCTGTAAAGAGCCTGGCAGCTACGGAGCCACGCGAAATCTTCCCTTCCCAGCCGGTGTCCTGCTCGCACGTATCTGCTCAATGGAGTCGTGAAAACAAATGTCCACACAAAAGCCGGCACGTGAATATTCGTAGAAGCACCCTTCACAATAGCCCCAAAGTACAAACAACCCCAAAGTCCATCAACTGACAGCTAAACAAAACTTGGGGTTTCCAAATGGAATATTCTTTTGGGACATTATTTTGGAATGAGTTACTGATACAAACGACAATGTGCACGAACCTTGAAACTAGCACGCTGAGTGAAAGAAGCCAATCACAGAAGACCACATATTGTAGGATTCCACTGATAAGAAGCATCCAGAATAGAAAAAAACCATAGAGATGGGGGCTGGCAGAGGGGGGAATGAGGAATATCAGCTAATGAGTAAGGGTTACTCTTTTGGGGCACTAAAAATATTTTAGAATTGAGGGTGCCTGGGTGGCTCAGATGGTTAAGCGTCTGCCTTCGGCTCAGGTCATGATCCCAGGGTCCTGGGATCGAGTCCCGCATCAGGCTCCCTGCTCCTTGGGAGCCTGCTTCTCCCTCTGCCTCTCTCTGTCTCTGTCTCTCATGAAGAAATAAATAAAAAGTTTAAAAAAATATTTTAGAATTGATGCGGTGATGATTGCACAACTCTGTGAATATCCTAGAAACCACTGAGTTGCACACTTTAAGAGGGAGAACTGTCCTAGGGGCTGGGGATACAGCAGGTAGCGTAAGAGATGACAAAACTCGCTCTGTTCGAGCTGCCTTTTTACGGGGACAGAAAGGCCCTAAAGAAGGAAACAATTATGTCAGAGGCTGATGTGTCCAAAGAAAAGAAATCCGGTTAAAGAGACACCCGGTGGAAAAGGTGCTCCTGAGATAAGGGGCGGGTCAAGGAGGGCCCTGAGGTGACAGGTGAGCGGACACCTGCAAACACCTGTGAGGAGCTCCCCAGGCAGGGAGAACAGCGAGTGGTTGATGTGGGACAGCTAGGGACGGGGGAATGAGAACTCAAACCCAGGGGAGTCCGACCCCTGAACGAGAGTGGCAGCGCCACAAAAGGGGGCTGGCTCCTAGCCCTGTTCCCACGTTCCTGCGGCTCAGCACCCGCGCCCCCCGATGAGGCTCAGAATCCTTGGCTGCAGCCCCTCCCACTGGTTCACTGCTCCTGATCCCCGTACCTCTCGGATCCCACCCGTTACTCACAAGCACCCTCTGGTCATATTGTCCCCACTTTCCAGATGAGGAACGCGAGGCTGGGGAGGTTAGCGAGTCCATCCAAGAGAAAAGAACTCAGGGCTGCGGTGCTGGGCCTCAAAGTCATCACCTAGGCTCTGCTTGGTGTCCCCCCATCGCCCCCAGGGCTGGGTGCCACGGAACTGGGTGCACCTCGCCCCCCAACTTCCTAGAAGCAGGTGGTCTTGTTTTCTCACCCGGTTGGAGTAGAGGTTCTCACTTCTATTTGAAACATTTGTTAGTTTGATTTAACTTTGCGAATTCAAAAGCATATTACCAGCTACGCTGCTCCTTAAATGTCGTGTACTTTAAAGTTTACATTGCACTTCCCTTCAAGCAGCCCATTTACTTAGGTTTTATTCTAAGGTAGAAGGAATAGCGACCTAAATTAAAAATACAGATATAAACATAGCGACAATACACATGGCAGTCCCGGGTTCAATATTCTTAATAGAAAGAAGGGCTCCTACGAACCCATAACAAAAGGACCTCTAAAAGGAAACTGGAAGGAAGTTATAAATGGGGTGCTCACAGAGGAAGAGATCCACCTGCCTGACAAACATGGTAAGAGCACCCGACCTCATCAGTTACCCCAAAAATAAGGTGAGATACAATCTTCACTCATCAATTCACCTGGCAAAGATTTCTTTTACATGGCTACGTCTGGTGAAGTCATGAACTGTTACAAACTTTCTAGAAAACAATTAGAAAATATTTACAAGCACCTTTAAAAAGGCTCAAACCACAGTCTTTAATCCAATGATACAGCGCTTAGATTCCACCCTAAGGAAATCAGCAGTGAGGTCAGAGACTTATGTGCAGGGTTATCAGAGGATTATGAAAAAAATCTATGACTAAGTGCTCAAAAATAGGGGGTTTCTTATAAACAATGATGTAACCATGAAACGTGTTTCCTAAGAACATTTAATGGTGTGTGAAAATGCTCACAAGTCAGAAATGTGTACAAGTTTACTATTAAGCGTGCTCAACAATGACATATGAAAATGTGACCCAAAGGCTTCTTTCCTCCTTACCTGTCCTTTGGGAAAACCGGTCTGTCGTCCAGGTATGTTAAATGTTTTAGTCGAACGGTGACCGTCTTTCGATAATTAGCAATGTGCCTGATAACAGGGTTTCCCATCAAATTCAGTACGCGCTGGAAGCATACAGGCAGAACCAGACTGGTTAATAAAACATGGGTGTGATTCAAATAGTTTACATGTGCTGTGCTCTGGGAGTCCATCAATAAGACACCTGTGCCCTCTTCACCTCCTGATGCCTTATCAGGGAAGCCTGAAGGTTCTCCTTGCTTCTGTGCCAGCAGACCTGTCCTGATAATGGAGCAGCCCTTTCTTGTACTTTAACTCCAGACCTGAAATCTCACTGTCCTTCCAGAACGATCTCAGAAAACACATCCGAAGGCGTGTCCAACTCAGCAAGGACATTATTTTGCTCACCCAAGCTCTTTTGCTGACATTAACCTCATTTTAATTGATCCTTTTCTCTCCTTCCCAGCCAGGACCCATTTTAAGAAAGTGTACACAGCAGCCGGGGGGACAGGAAGCATGGATAGGGAAAGGATGGAAAGCGCCCGCTCGCCGGGTTCCTGCATCTGCTGGATGTCGCTGGGACTCGCATAGCATCCCCGGTCCTTAAACCCCGTCTCCTCCTTTCCCGCCTGTGACACTCAGAAGTGGACAGCCAAGGCGACACGTGGGAAACACATTTAAGACTAGTTTGCCTGAACTCATGAAAGAGTTTTTTTTACCTAAAGTGGTCTGTGTTATCGGAGAAAACAAATATACTGCAAACTAGTTTCGTTTAGCATTCTCCAAACTTCATTCTGGTGGTATTTTCCCTGCGGGGTTAGGGGAGCGGGGTGGGGGGTGCACTATACACCCCAGGGCAGGCACTTAAAGGACTAAAGGGCTTCATTGTGGGTGGAGGATTTAAAAGCAATCACAAAACAGGGCGCCTGGGTGGCTCACTTGGTTAAGCATCCAACTCCTGATTTCAGCTCAGGTCGTGATCTCAGGGTCATGGGATTAAGTCCCATATTGGGCTCCATGCTCAGCGGGGAGTCTGCTGGGGATTCCCTCTCTCTCCCTCCCTCTAGCCCTCCCCCTACTCTCTCTCTCTCAAATAAATAAATCTTCAAAAAAAAAAAAAAAAAAAAAGCAATCACCCAGGCACCTGGGTGGCTCAGTTGGTTAAGCAACTGCCTTTGGCTCAGGTCATGATCCTGGAGTCCCGGGATCGAGTCCTGCATTGGGCTCCAAGCTCAGCAGGGAGTCTGCTTCTCCTTCTAACCCTCTCCCCTCTCATGCTCTCTCTCAAATAAATAAAATCGTAAAAAAAAAAAAAAAAGCAATCACAAAACAACTGTAAGGCAGACTGCTTTTGTCTTGGACTGAACTGTGTCCCCCTTCCCCAAATTCATATGTTTGATTTCTAACGCCAGCACCTCAGAATGTGGCTGCATTTGGAGACAGGGCCTTTAAAGAGGTGATTCAGATCATGTGCAGTCATCGGGATGGGCCCCGGTCCAGCCTGACTGGTGTCCTTAGAACAGGGGTCTGGGACACAGACACGCAGAGCAGACAATGAGAGGACGTGGGACATGGGGAGAGGCCAGCCATCTGCAGGCCACAGAGAGAGGCCTCAGGAGAAACCAGTCCCTGCCCCACTCCCGACACTGTGATCCTGAACCACTTCTACCCTCTAGAATCCTGAGAAAATAAACTTCTGTTGTTTAAGCCACCCAGTCTGTGGTACCTCATTAGAGCAGTTAAGCGAAAAGAAAATAAAAAAAGTATTATATGATACAGCTTTATCTTATCGCTGTATGTTGGCCCTTCTAAACTAGTCTTTGTTCCCAATCTACTCAGAACGTTATTCCTGAACTATGGTTTGCTTACTATTTTTCTTAAAATAGACTCACTTTTCCCTGACACATCCATACCCTAAGCAGTAAACAGTGAACTCGGGGTTTTGGGGTGCTATTTTGAATATGTTCCCCAGAGCACATGACAACATGCACAAGAAAGCAAGGAAGCCATCAAGGGCTACCACAGTTGAGTCAAAGGGACACAGGGAGGGGTGGACTGGAGGGGTTGCCACAGGCCGGAAGATGGGACCATCTGAATATCCAGAATTAAAATGACAGCAAGGGTTAAATCATATCAAATACTGCATACATAAACCCACGAGTTCATAATGACACAATGGAAGGAAAAACCGTCCCTTGTCACCATTAGCAGTTGCTAGGTTCTCGGCTCCTTTCTCTGAAAATCCAGGAATAAAAAAGAAAGAGCCAAACCATCATCACGGCCCTTGCTGTGTGAACTATACACTGGGGAACCACTAGGTGACAAGGGCGTTCCTCGCGGGAGAAGCGCTCTAGCTAAGAAATGAGGCAGGAACAGGAGGGCAGGACAGTGGCTACCGTGTGGCTCCTGAAGGAATGACTCCTGAGGTGACTGCTCCAGGACTGGAGGGAGGGATGGGGCTCTATCCTGGCTGCAGCAGGCGGATGACCCCGGGGGCCCCATCCAGCTGTCTTCAAGTCACAAACGAGGGAGGCAAGCAGACATCACAGGCCCTGCGATGAGATGCAGTGGCACCCCTCCCAGGAGAACACTGAACCTGGACAGGAGCAAGCCTCCAGCTCCACCGGCACCATGCTAGAAATATGGGTCCAGCAGAACAGGTTACAGGACACCACGGGGATGCAATCAACCAAATCCAAAATGTGGCAGAGTCCTGAGAAAGGAACTGGTTCCTTCAGCAGACTAAGGGGAGGGGGACCCATCAGCAGAAGTGCTTATCTGCCCGAGGTCTGTGGGTGAAATGACATGGTGTCTGGCATTAAGGTACTCCAGCTAAAGACCCCAAGAGGACAGGCGTGATGAAGGACGAAGGCCGGAGGGAAGGAGGGGAGGGGGTGTGTGGGGGGGAAGAGAGATTTATTCTCTAAAGAAGGCAGGTTTTACCAAATCAGGCATGCTCTCCAGGACGCTCAGGATTTCCGGATCACTCAGCTTATTGTGGGAAAGGTCAAGGACGCAAAGTTTCAAACACTCCTTTAGATGCTGAATGTCTTGCACAGTCTCTAAGTGATTGTGGGCCATCTGGAGTGTGTTCAGGACCGGCAGGCAGGCTGCAAGGCGGAGGTCAGCAGAAGTAAGTAACAAGGGTCTGAACAGCTTTTAGAACCTCCCCCAGGGGACAGTGGTGGGCACAATGGCATCAAGACCCCTCGTGGGGCATCTTACAGAGGTTTTCAATGGTCTTGATGTAATTGTTGCTCAGGTTAAGAGCATCCAGTTTCTGCAGAGGTTCTAAGTTCTCAATTTTACGGAGCAAGTTCACTTGCAAGAAGAGGCAGCGCAATTCGGTTTGGGCCTCCAGGTTCTCGATCTTCTGTATTCCATTGCACTCCAGCCAGAGACAGCGTAGACCCGTGTACTCTTCCAAGTTCTCGATGCGATCAAAACCTAGGGAGAAGGAAGGGGGTGTCGGATAAGCTCCTCCACGCACATGAGGCTCAGGGTCACCCCTGTTGTTGACCACCTGCTGACCAGCCACACCTCCTTCCTCTGGTGACCCCACTGCCACTTTTCTTTGAGGAGCATTCCTCTGCTGATACTACCCCCCACCCCCCAAGGCTCCCTGGGCAGCCAAGCAGAGTCACAGCAATCCACTCTGCGCTGGTCACGCTTAGTCAAGCAGGGCCAGCTGTGAGGAACCCTGGGAGGTTTTGCTGGCTTCGCTGGAGGGAGGGAGTCTCTCTGCTGGAATGCCAGCCCTGTAGGGTGGAGTCTAGCGCTGCAGCGGCCACCTGCCCTTCATGGCTGGGAGTGGGTGGAGGTGAGGGGTGACCTGCCTCAAATGAACCAAAGGAAAGCAGGGCCAAGCCAAGGAAAAAGGCAGCCCAGTGAAGCCATGCCATGAGCACGGGGGTCTGGCTAAGCCCGAAGCGAGGCCAAACTGTGGGGTTGTTTTTTTTTTTTTAAGATTTTATTTGACAGAGAGAGAGAGAGAGAGAGAGAGCGAGCGAGCGCGCGCACAAGCAGGGGGAGTGGCAGAAGGAGAGGGAGAAGCAGGATCCCTGCTGAGCAGGGAGCTTGACCTGGGGGAGCCCGACCTGGGGCTCGATCCCAGGACCCCGGGGTCACAACAGACCTGAGCCGAAGGCAGACACTTAACAGCTGGACCATCCAGGTGCTCTCAAACTGTGGGTTTTGTTCTATTTTTCAGTTTTAGGAGCCAAATTTAAGGTTAGGAAAACAAATGCTCTTTACTTTGGTAACTCATCATCAGTCTGTAATTCATGGTTCATCTGCTATTACCAAAGCCTTTGAAAAGTTATTTATTTTGTTACCTGAAAAATTTTTGTTTAAAAAGTTACAGTATCCCTGTTGAGCCAGAATGACCCAGCTAAGCCATTCCCTGGGTCCCAGGCCTCAGAAAGAGTACCAGATAATGAATTTGTTTTAGGTTGCTAGGTTTGGGGGCGATTTGGTCTGGGGCAGCAGGAGATTTATGGGCACATCTCCCTCCTAGCTCTTCTACCTCTGGCTCTCTCCACGAAGCCTGACTCGTGGGGTCCTCTTCTTCCCACCTCTTCGATATCGGGCCCCCCGGGATCCGCCCTGCTAAGTCGTCCCATGCACTGCGACACTTCCACATTGGGTGCAGAATTTTGGAGGGGGCAATGTGGAGGTGAAGAGACCAGTTAGGAGTCCTTGCATTTCTTTAAGGTATGTGTGCTGCTGGTGCCCTTCGTGGGCCTCTGTGGCACAGCATGCCTCACAGTGGCTGCCCCATTCCCCAGGACACCCAAGACATCTTGACCATATGCGTCTCTGCATCTTCAGCACTACACACAGAAGGCATTTACTGACTAAATAAGGAACACACAGAGGACCTATGAAGCAGGTCAGCCACCCCGAACTCAGAGGAAGCGGAAGCTATCCCTCCTCTTTGTCATTCCTGGAACTACCCGGGTGTACGAACCCCAGCTGAGGTTTACATGTGACCCTGCACGCCAAGCCCGGGCCCCCAAGGATGCCACTGTTCTTGCTTCTCCAATCTGGGAGGCACTGACCACCCTCCTCTTTCAAGACATGTTCCGTCCAAGCCCAGTGTTCACCACTAGATTGCTGGCTTGAAAAATTTATAAGTCCTTCAGAAAATATAAATAAAGCATATGAACATGTTTCCTTGGTATCCGTATAGTCAGTGGTCCCCCTTTATAAACCCAGTCAGGGAAGACATGTCAAGGAAATATTATTGCTTTTCTACAAATCGTCACTAAACTCCGAAATTTCTACTTAAATGTACTTTGAGAACTCCAGGAGGATCCCAGCAAGAAATTTTTTATACCACTAGAGCCTTCCCCCTGACATGAGATACCTCTACCAGGTCCTTACCTTTAAAGTGTAAATACAGTGTATCATTCAATGCTGGGGTAATATAAAGCTTGTGTTGCTTGCAGAGTTTTTGCAGAAAACTTTTAGTCATTCTGTTAAGTGAACAAGAAATGTATTGCAATTTGTCAGTTGGGAAACACATTCCAAAAATTCTTTACCACAACAATTTCTTCCTCAAATTTCAAAATATCCTACATGACTGATAACTTTATATTTTTTGCCTGATAAACTATTTTAAGTTCTTTTTTTTGTATACCTTTCAGGGCCTCATCCAATATCATTACTTTCAGCATTCTTAAAAATTGCAATGTATGTTCTAATAAAAATACTTTTAATAGTGTCATCAAGAACTACTGATGTTTCTCTCTCCAGGCCTGGCATTAAAGTTTAATGTGTTGTGGTCACTTGAGCCATAGAGGCAGCGCCGTTCTGACTCTGTTACTAATTCTCAGACACTGGGCCAACTATTTAACCTCTGCGAGCCTCAATTTCCTTATCTATACAAACGGGCAATTACACCATCTACCTTCCTTAGGAAATATGTACTATAATTGGCAGCAGCGTGCCCACATACCTGGGGCCACGATCTTCCTTGTCATCTCTCTGGTGTGTGAAGCGACTGTCCGACCTGCTATCACCGCCCTGCTTCTGCTCACTTGGGTAGGATGTGACAGAAGGACCCACACATGTTTCCTTCGGATTATTAATTTCTATAAAAGAAGAGATTGGTTCTACAGAGATCAAGAGATGTATAAAAAGTTTGCCCAATTTCAACTTGATTAATAAGTGTCTGGTTTTAGTATGGAACATGAGTACTCTTGAAGTGCACGACAATTTGTAAAGCATTGGTAAGGACCATGGAAAGTTCACATCTAGGCGGGTCCTCTATAAAAGCTCTGGTACAGGTGCACAAGGACACGTGTACAAAGATATTTATTACTGCATTACTTTTAACAGCCAAAGACTGTCAACAATGCAAACGTCCACCCATTGTGGCTGGTTAAATAAAACAATGGGTTAGTAGTCTGCCTTGGAGAAGAATGCACCAGAGCTACATCAATAAATACGGATCATTCTCAAAAACGTGTATGAGACGATAAAGCAAGTTTCATAATAAGCACAGGATATCACTTATGTAAGTTAAAAACATACAAACCAATGCTCTGTATTGTTTAAGGACAAAATTCTAGACAACAGACAGGGAGAAGGGAATGGGACTGAGAACTGGGGGGAGGAGGGCAAAAGGAGCATCAACTTTATCTGAAATGTCTTATCTCTTTAATTTAAAAAAAGACTAAAGTAAAAATGATAAAAAGTTCATCATTTTCAATTCTTAGTGATGATACAAGGGTGTTTGTCATAATGTTCCCTCTTCTTTTTTTTAAAAGTGCCCAAAAGAAAAACCACAGGAAAAGAAACAAAAGTGGTGAAAATATCTTTGGTAAAAAGAGAATGAGCACATTCAAAGTCACTTAATTTTTTTAAAGGTCAATCAAAACTGGCCAGTTCAAATGCACTTCATCTTTAAGAGCGGCTGGCTGTTGCGCTCTGTGTCCCTGTGTCTGTCGAACCAGACTAAACGCTCCGGGTGTGGGACTGTGTCTTACACTCTCCCATTTCCCACTGCACACAATGCCCAACCACAAGAGGCACCAGATAAGTGTCTGTGGAATAAAGGAGAGGTGCTCAATATACATAATGATTATCTGAATAACAAGAGCTAGTGTTGATTAATGGCCCACTGTAACCCAGAAACCTAATTATAATTATCCCTGCCTACAGACGAGTAGACAGCCCCCAAAGAGAGGTTAAGCTCTGGGCTGACAGCCATAACCTGGCGAGTTGCAGAGCTGCAATCTGTACCCAGAGTCAGTGGCTCCAAAGCCTGTCTCTTTCTGGAGAGCGACACGGCTTTCCTACAGCTCTTCACACAGGGTGCGCCTGGACAGTCAATGCTCCATGTTTGTTGACCGGGTTCAAAAAATGAAACACAAATCGAGTAGCTTATCGAGTCGTTAAAAGATTGGGCCTCAAGCAAAGTGGGAGCAGAGGCTGAAGTCTGTCTGGGAGACTGGTGAGGAGTCACCCACTAGCTCCAGAACCACCAGCTCCTCATTCACTCTCTACCGTGGGTCAGGCACCGGACTGGACACTGTGAATTCAGTCAGGACGTCCTGCCCGGAGAGCCTTTGATCTTACATAGTGATGGCAACAAAGGGATACATTTAAAGCATGTAACAGGTGGGCGATGGGGAGAAGGGCGTGTTGGGTAAGGGCTTGCGCTCCGGAGTCGGACTGACCAGCAGAAGTCTGTCCTGTCATTGACTGCATGAGGGTGATCTCTTTGGAGCAGGTTCCGTAACCTCTGTTAAGTCTCAGTTTCTTCATCTGCATGAAATGGGGGGAGGAGTGCCTACCGCAGAGGGCGGGAGCACGGCTTCAAATGAGGTGAGCGCGGGGCACGCAACCATTAAAAAGTGTGTGCCGCTCCGGTTATTATCTCTATTGTTATCGCTGGCTGGGAAGGTTAGGGGTGGTGCTGGGCGCAGCCCACCGCCCCCCTCGGCTCCCTGGGGGCGGCGGTCTGCACCTTCCTTGCGGCCCCGCGGGCCCGCGTCCCCGTGGTCGCCCGCCGACTCCTCCACGCCCGACTCCTGCGCGCAGCCCTGCTCCGCCGGCCCGTCCACCACGGGCTCCGAGGCCTCGGGGTGCATGCTTATTCCGGATACACGGAACACCCAGTTCCGCTGGGTCGCTACCGCCCCCGGCCCGGTCCCGGAGCTCCGCTTTCCTTCCCCGCCGACCACCAGCGGCGGAGTCGTTGGTAGCCTAACGCTTGCCCGGTCGCCACAGCAACCGCTGCGCACGCGCACTAGGGTGGGCCGGCGCGTCAGGACGCCGGGGGCGGGCCCCGCAACGGCTCCGCCCCCGGCGCGTGCGCGGGTCACGTGGGGCGCGGCTCGCGGCAACTGCGGCGGTGGTGGTGACAGGGGTGGTGGTGGTGGTGGTGGTGGTGACGACCGGGGCGGCGGCCGCGCGGCTCTGGCGGGACCGGCTCGGAGACTGCGCCGCCTCTGCAGGTCCCGCGCCCCCCCCCCCCCCCGCCTCCCCGCGCCCGGCCCCGGGTCCCGGCCCCACTTGGTCTCCCTCGGCCCGTCCCTCCAGGTGCGCCCCGCCACGCCCCCCGGGACCGTGCTCCTCGGCGCCATCGGCACCCCGGACCCCCGGAACCCCTTCGTCTCTCCGCTCCCTCGGACCCCCGCCTCGGCACCCCTCCTTTCAGACTCGTCCCCCAGCCCCACGGCGCCCCTTCCCAACTCCATCCCGGCGTTGCATCCCCGGAGGATCCCCTGTTCTGGGTCCGCCCCCTCCCCCAGGACCCGACGGATATGGGGCCCCACCCACACGAGCGCGGCCCTTCTGGCCCCAGACCCTAGCCCGGGGGTCCCAGCGAGGCTCCGAGAGTCACCCCTTTGTCCGTGCTCCTTTATTCTCATTTCTAAAGGACTTGGTTGGAGTGGGATTTGTTGTTGTCTTTGTTCTGAATTAGGAGTAATTCGGAATAAGGGAGCTCTTGGAGAGAGGGCACCAGCGGCTCCCGAAGCGCGGTGGTTTGCTGGCGTTTGCTGGGCGCCGTCAGGTGCTGGAAAGGAAGGGTTCTGGAGATGGATGAGGCTGTCCCCAGTTCAGAGGAACGTGCCGCCCAGCAGACCCAAGCCCTGGAGCCCGCGCGGCGATGCCAGCAGGATGCCCGCCCGGGGGTCTCACAGTGGGGAGGCTAGCCAGGGCTCTGGACTTTGGGAGACCTTGACCGAATTCCCGTGGGGTCCTGGCTATGTCCCTTTAATCTCTGTCGGCCTCAGTTTCCCCATCTGTAAACGGGATGATTATAACTCTGTCTCCTAACGTTGGTGAGAGAACAGTGAGGGGTCAGGGATGAAGCCCTTAGCGGTGTCTTTGGCTTAAAGCCAGCTCTGAGTTCTAACGCTGACCCCTGCGGATAGCCCCTAGCTAACGTTGAACACGGAGTTCCAGCAGCTAATAGCTAAGGTTTCTTGAGCACTGAAATTTGGGCACTGTTCTCAGTGCTTTATATGTATGACTTCATTTATTTCTTACAGTCTTAGTCTGGAACTATTATCTCCGTGTTTAGGTAACATAAGGTAATGTCAGGAAAATGCAGAGGTGAAGTAACTTCACTTTCACCCAGCAGAGCTCTGGGGGGGGGGGGGGGGGGGGCAGAGCCTTGATCTAACTCCAGGAAGTCTGTTTTCAGAGTCTGTGGTTTAGTCACTACAGTAATATTCCAGGGGCGTAGAGTTCAACAAATCAGTATTTTTTTAGTAGATTTTAAAAATTGACATAAAATTCATCCTCTTAGCCATTTAGAAGTGTGCTTTTCATAGCAGCCTCTTCACTATGTGCAACTACCACCACTATTTAACCATCATCCCAGGAAAAAATCCTTCCCCATTAGCAGTCATTCCCCGTTCCCACTGCGCCTGTGCTCTGGCAACCCTAATCTCCTTTCTGTCTCTGGATTTGCCTTATGTGGACAGTTCATATAAATTGGATCATATGGTGTTTGGCTTCTTTCGCTGAGCATAGTGTTTTCAGGGTTTGCCTGTGTAGCAGCATGCATCCTACTTCATTCTTTTTATTGCTGACTGATATTCCAGGATGTGGCTAGATCGCGTTTTATTTATCCATCTGTCTGTTGATAGACATTTGGGTTGTCCCCATGTTTTAGCTATTGTGAATAGTGCTGCTGGGAATGTGGCTCCACGAGTTTTTGTGTAAGTTGTCTTGGGTTGATACCTAGGAGTTGATGCCATTGTTATTTTAATTCCAAGTGGAGAAACCCAGGCCTGTTGGATCTTGGATGAGAACTCCCATTTCTGCCCTTCCGCTGAGCTCCCCATGAATTCAGGTTAGCGGTATCCCAAAAATTGGCAAAGGAAGGAAAGAAATTCCAAAATGTCATGATACACCAATAATAACTTTGTCAAAGTGCTGACCCAAAATTTGAGAAGCTCCTTAACATTTTTTTCTCCTCAAGAGTGAAATTTGAGCTTTGAACACAAACCAGTATTTGCTTCGATTTATTAAACAGATGTTTTATACACAACCTTATACCAGTTGCTGAGGAGGAATATTAAAGATGGGTGCGATCCTAGCCTCACACCGTCACAGAGTCGCAGGAGGGTTAAAGACTTAAATCTGAAACACAAAATTGTGAAAAGTTTGAGAAAATCATATTGGAAAATACCTTTATGTCCTGGGGCTAAGAGGGGACTTCTGAAGTGAAACATAACAAAGCACAAAGCATACAGGAAAGAGATTAATCCATTTGCATTACAATCAAGATGTTCAGTTCATCAAAAGCACTATGAAGAGAGCAAATGTAGAGAACCAGTATCTAGAATATAGAAAGAAAAGGAAGACAACATAGTAGAAGTAAGAGCACAAGCTGGGCACAGGCATTTCACAGACGAGGAGCCACAAACAGCACAGAAGCATCGTAAGGGTGCAGTCAACATTATCCATAATCAGGAGATGTAAGTTAAGACCGTAGTGAGCCCCCGTTTCAAGGCCACCCTGTGGGCAGAAGGCGAGCGTACGGGTGCCAGCCATTGGGGGTGAGCACTGTGAACTCCCACTGGCTGATGGTGGGCGTGGGGGTTGGCCCAGCAGCTTGGGCAGTGCCTACCTGAATGCACGGGTACTCTGTGGCCCAGCAGTGTGACGCAGGTATGTCCCTTCAGCGGACTCCAGCACCTGGGCGCGGGTGATGTGAGTGAGTGTGCACAGCGGGTCTGTTCATGACTGTAGAGTAAAAGCCAGAAGAACCCCAACGCAAACGCCAATCAGTGCTAGAATGGTTGTATGAATCCTGGTGTGTTTGTCTCATGACCTAGTGTACAGCAGTGAAAGTGTATGAGCTCCAGCTCCAGGGGCATGGACCAGTCTCGAAAACAACATTGATTGAAAGAAACAAGTCACCAAAAATACACGTGCTGTGATTCCTTTAGAGGAGGTTCAAAACCAGACAAAACACTTTCTTTCAGAATCCCTGCTGGGGTAATCGTACAACTATTTTTTTTTAAGAAGGGCAAGGGACCGGTGATGTCAGAATTGAGGAGGGTGGTAACCCCCAGGGTGGGCGGAAGGTGGTAATATGATCAGGGAAGAAGCTATGGGGCCTCGAAGTGCGGTGGCCGTGTGGGCGTTTGGTTATTCTTTGAACTACGCGTAATGGGTTTTACAACTTTTGTGCCTATTTTTCAGTTTTTTCAAGTGACGGCAAAATTAGTTGTAGATACATGTGCCCTCGAGAGGCCTGTGCTCTAGCTGGGGAACCAAGAGACACGGAACCCAGATGGTGCGGGAAGGGCCTTGTGGGTAAGACGGACGGGCGCTCGGGGAGCTTGGCGCAGTGGCCGATGAGGGAGAGGGATGAGGCGCAGGGCGCCCCTTCGTTCCAGGCCTTGTGTGTCGCTGGCACCTAGCAGTGAGCACTGGCATCGAATGGGGGGCTGAGCTGGTCTCGGGAGGACAGACGGGATTTCAGTGCCGACAGCAAGACCAGTGCAGACTGTGTGTGGAAGAAGAGCTCTCGCTATGAAAAAACCTTAACGAAAATCAAGTCCACAGCCCTGGAGCCTTATTGAAAAGCTGGGCAGTGCCAGTTGTGGCTGGGGGGGGGACCCCCCAGGCCTGCCCCCCTCAGGGGAAGACCACAGGAATCTCTGAGGCGGTTTCTGGCTCCTTCGAACACGAGAAGCTTTTGGATTAAGGGACGTGCAGGATTTGCAGCTTGTTTCTGTGCTGTCCTAAAAACGAGGCTGGCTGTCTCTCTGTCCTTCCATCCATTGATCCATCTTCATTTCCTGTCGTTGCTGTACAAATTACCACGAACTTAGTGGTTTAAAACAGTGCAGATTTATTCTCTCACACTTCTGGAGGCCAGACGTCTGAGGTCAGCCGCGGGGGGCTAAAACCAGGGCGTCAGCAAGGCTGGGTCACTCCTGGAGGCTCCGGGGACACTACCTTCCCTGCCTTTGCCAGATGCTGGAGGGGCCTGCGTTCTAGAGGGCACCCCTCTCCCCATCCTCAAATCCTGTGGCCCCCCCCCGTCTTTTAACCCTGCCTGCTGCCTCCTTGACCTCCGCTTCTTGATCACACCTCCTCCACAACTCTGACCTGCCTCCCTCCTCCAAGGACATGTGTGATCACAGCGGCCCACTCGGATCATCCAGGATCATCTCCTGCTTTCAAGGCCCTTAGCTTAATCACATATGCAGAGTCCTCTTTGCCACGTAAGGTGGGCCGTTCGTGAGGTGGACGTGAGGGGGGCCTACGTGAGGTGGAGGCGTGAGGATTAGGGCCGGGCCATCCCCAGGGCCATTGTTCAGCCCACCATGCTTGCTGCCTTTGTTTGGTGGTGCGTTAACTGTCTTCCCATCATGCGTGCTTCGTTTTCCTTGAAAACCTCGTGGCCAGTCTGTCTGATGTCCTTTTACCCTCAGGCCTCATTCGTTTAGATAACTTGGTGACGTCAGTGTCGGAGCCCAGACTTCTCCCCCAGAACTCTTGGTTCATGGAGAGGTTGCTGGCGGGTTTTGCGTGAGCTTGGCCGGCCCTCGTCCCTGCTAGGTGGAGCCCGCTAAACTCTGCATCAGGAGAATGTTACAGGTCACCGCGGTGCTTTGTTCTGTTTGTTTATTTTATTATCTCTACACCCAACATGGGGCTCGAACTCACGACGCTGAGATCCGGAGTCGCACGTTCTACTGACCGAGCCAGCCGGGCGCCCCCAGAGCCGTGCTTTGAGGAGGAGACTTTTCTCGTTGCAGTTTTGACCATAATCTTCCCGTGACACTTTTGGACTTCCAGTATTACCTTTAGGGTTTGTTTGTTGTTTCCCACAGGATTTGTGGACTCTTTGGGAGCAGTTTCAGGTTTACCGTAAAATTGAGACAAGGTACAGAGGTGGCCCTATACCCCCAGCTCTCACGCACACGGAGCACCCCCCCACTGTCAGCGTCACTCACCAGAATGGTACCTTTTTTTTTTTTTTTAATCAAGGACGAGCCTATATGGACCCATCGTCATCACCCAAAGTTTGTAGTTTACCTAGGATGTGTTCAGTGCATTAGCCCTGATGAGTAGTGCCCTGTAGAAGTAGAAAGTACCTAACAGACCATAGGGAATTGCTCTCTTCCTGTTTTGGGGACAGCTCTGATCTTTCCCTCCACCTGTTTTTCTCCTATTTTGGAGAAAAATGATGATTGAGTTTTCTGTAGAGGCAAGAAAACAAAGCTTTATAATAACTTTTACAAGCAGATTGGATAGGGGCCAGAATTTTACTGTGTTTCAGTGTTGCTTTGTAACACAATGGATTTCTCTAAGTTTTAGGCCAATACCTATCTGCAGAAGAATGAACTGGTCAAACCTTCATAGCAAGTTAAATGCAGCTAGGTATCTTGGTAGGCTTCTGGACTTAAATGTGTAATAAACTCCTTTAAACCTGATTTCCATGAGATTTCCTAGATATTAATGGCTTTGGGGCAAGTCTTGATTTGTTCTCTCATTAGGAAGACATTATTTTCCATCATGTACTCAAGGGTGGGGAGAGAACTGGGAGGATGTCAGGAATGGCTAATGTCCTGTTATTTTCCATTTACGGTTAGTCCATCAGGGTATGAACGAATGTAGGGAAACGTCTGGTGTGTCTGAGAAGCAGCATGGAGTCATCACAAAGCCATGCGCTCTCCATTCAGCCTTGCCTTGTCCCCATCTGGAAGGACGAGGGTCTCGGACCCCTCTCTTCCTGCCCGCACCAGCACAGCCTCTCCCCCCCCCCCCACTGCTGCCAGCCGCCTTTTACAACAAACCTGATCAGCTCCCTCCTTTGGCAGAAGGGACTTAACTCAGAGAGGGACTCCACACGCTTCTGTTTGTCATAAAGACCTTTTACAATGTGGCCTTCCCTTCCAGCCCCCTTGCCACCCCTGGGTGCACTTCCTGTGCTATGTTGAGTTTGTCACCATTTCCTGGCAGGCTGACCCTTTTGCGGTGCTGTGCCCTTGCCTCCTCTCTGCCCAGGAGGGTCTTTCGCCCTGCAGCAGTGCCCTCGCCACTTTGCACTGAGTTGCTCTGTTTAACTTGGTGAATTCCGTGTACACAGTGACGCAGGGACTCCTGGCTTACTGGGGAAGGGTCCTAAGTGTCTGACACTTACTTGTTCGTTGCTTAGTTGTTCGTTGCTGTTTTAGTAGTTTGGTTTTCCAGGTGGACTTGCCTAACCAGTGACCATGCATGTTTAGACTTCTTGGCGGTATTGTTTATTGTTCCTAAATAAATTGGTGTTTGAATGTGTCAGTCTTCTGTGAGTTTGGTGGCTGTGAGTCAGGTCTCCATCTTGAGCTGTGTCTGGGGAATGATGAGATGGTATGCTGTCCTTCAAGGCTGTAGGCTAGGCCTAGAACACTGTCAGCTCTCTGATTCTCTGTGATTGAAAACAAATGTAGCCATGACGGTATTTGTTTAACGGGCTTGCCTGTGGTGGAACTGTGATGTTAAATATCGTCCTGGTACCCCTGTGACAGGACAGTGGAGGGGAGTGTGATGGGCAGAGCCAGGAAGCCAGGCCACGCCAGGTCCAAGGCCCTTGAAACCGCTGTTCTCAGAGCATTTCTGAAGTTGGTGCATCTTCCTGATACACCTGAGCAGGAGGTTGCTGGCGGGCTTTGCATATGCGGTTTTTCTGTCTGTAGAGGATCGGGAGAGTTTGGTGGTCCCCTTGCGAGCTGGTGAACGAGAAAGTGTGCAGGATGAGAGCTGACCTAGAGACCGGGTAGTGCTGAGCTCCTGCTTTGGGCCAAGGCCCGTTGAAAGGGCTAGAAGAACAGAGAGGAATAAGATTTGGCCTCAGTCCTGGAGCAGCTCAGCCTGCTGGGGGTCTTCTAAAACCGAATCTAGGGTGGAAAGAAGGGGAGAGGTGTGCCGGAGGTTCTTTTCCTTTGCGCATTCTGAAAGTGCTGGCCCCACTCACGGGCTGGAAGGGGCTGCTCCGAATACCGCAGGACACTCCTTCCTGCCACCTCAGCCAGCTGATTAGGCAAGTGCTGGATGCCGGGGCTCAGGCGGGCGGCCGGAATCTGCCAGGAATGTGGAGTCGAGGTGCCAGGCTGCAGTAGTGGGGAAGCTCAGGGGCTCTGCAGGTGGAGCGCAGGAAGGCGGCTTGCAGGGAGAGTGCTGAGGCCCTGGGTGAGCCCAGGCAGGCATCAGGGACTGAGGATGGCCTGGCCTGCTCGCCTCCCCGCCTGCCTGCTCTGGGGCTTTGTGTCCTGAGCTCCCAGTGTCTGTGCAGAGCGCCACCTCTCTCCCAGCTATTGGAACGGGTTTTGTTCTGTTTGTTGAAATGTTCCTTAAGAAAGACGGTCCAGGGAAAGCGGGCACATTCCAGCTGAGTCTTTCTGCAGACGCTGTTGGTGCCTTCCTTTTTCTGAGATGAGGAAATGCTCTGCCGTCTGCACAGGGGATTCATGGCGTAAGAATTTCTGTTTCCTTAATTTTGAAGAACTTTGGTCTTATGTTTATATAAAGTTTTCCCAGCTGAGCTGTGAGGGCAAAAGAAAGGAATTTGTTTCATGTTGTTTTTTGTTTGCAGGTTGGCCTTAAGACAGCAGCATATTCCTGAAGACCCAGAACCGGCCGAGAGGTGAGAGAAAAGCAAGGTAGTTAAGGACCACAGCAGAAAAATCGGGAATCTCCTCTGTAGTCAGGCCCCTTTCGATAGTTTTTCCTTCACCAATGTTCAAATTCTTGGAAAAAATGGTGTTTGAGGGGAGAAGAAGGTCCCTTTACACCGTTTCCCATTAGTATGAGACCATTTCATGAGCCATATCTGACCTACTCCTTTTCAGCTAGAACCTTGTTGCAGACCCTGGGTGCAGTTAATTTTCCCACAAGTATTGCTTTGGTGACAGCCCGATAGATCTTGATACATAGGATATAAATTTTCGTAGAAAATAGTGTTTCAGTATCTCAGATCTACACCCACCTGTTTTTTTTTTTTTTTTTTTTAAGATTTATTTATTTACTTATTTATTTGAGAGAGAAAGAGACAGAGAGAGAGCTGGAGCAGTGGGGAGAAGCAGGCTCCCCGCTGAGCAGGGAGCCCGATGCGGGACTCGATCCTAGGACCCTGGGATCATGACCTGAGCTGAAGGCAGATGCTTAACCAACTGAGCCACCTGGGCGCCCCCACCCACCTTTATTAGGAGAATAGATTTAATATTCCAAGAATCCAGATTTTTTTGTTGTAGTTTTGTTATTCCTAATTTTATTACATTGTGTTGGAAAAGTACTAGTACCTACAAATACTACTGTTTTGCACTTACTTTACTTGGGGCTTTGTATTAGATTAGTTATGACAGAAGGCACGTATATGCTTTTAAGAAATTATTTCAGGAACTCCCCAAAGTGAAGGTTTAACATGGGATTTCGTTTTTATGTTCTTCCTATGAGAAATTACTCTTTTGTTCCTTTCTTTGGGAGTCTTGCCGTTATGATTATTGAGGGCCACAGCCATGGCAAACACAGTGGTGGCACGCCAGATCAGGGGCATGCGCTGCCTCCGCAGGGACCTGGCTGTGTCCTGAGCTGCAGAACAAGGGCCATTGAGAACGGCGACGCAACACTCCCTCGTCTCTAGCATCTAGAAGCTTGGAGGGGCATTCCTGCACCGCAGGAAGAGAATGGACATATTTGAGACAGATGATCCTCACTGTGAATGTACTTCCAAGGATCTGGGAGCAACCCTCAGAGTGTTGTTGCCTTCTGAATGGCAGATTGATCAGGACTAGAAGGGCCTCTTCAGCCCAAACTTCGTTGATCTTGACACTTCAGATTTCAGAAAATCTCAGCCAGTGTGGTCCTTGAAAAAAAATTATGAAAGGAGAAAAGGAGCATTTCATCGTTCTTATATTATCAAGGATTTGGCTTGTGGAGTTAATACAGTTTACAGCGTTTTCTTTTCACGATCAGTTTTGGCATTCTTGTTGTGGGGGAGGTGTGTCCCTATGAACAGAACCCCAGAATATGGCACTTGCCAACAGGACATGAGATGGCCCAACCTCAGTTGTTTTCTCTGCCATTTGGGGAAAACATTTCTTTAACGTAATGCCACGTCAACTCAATTCGTAATACGGTAGCCGTGTATAGCTTCCTGCTTGAGCGACTATGTCCTTGTTGCGGGGCATTTGGGAATCCTGCTGCCTGCTCCTCTCTTCAGTGTTCTGTCCTATGTCCTTGTACCCTTTGTTGGTTTGTACTTTGGATTACCCACTCATACACGCATCAGTGTCTATGTATATTCACTTATCTGTCTCTGTCTTCAACAGGTTTTCTATTCTTTTATGCCTTTTATCACAGGATGCTGCCCCTCAGAATGTGTTCCATTTCAGTGGCTAATTGGTTTTTCTCCTGCTTTGTTCATTTTCACTCTGCAGAACTTGATTGGGCTCAGATTACACTGCAGTGGAGCATTCACTCATTCTTCCTTAAGCTTATGCCTATTTTTGCTACTATCGTTGGGAATTCTCTTAGTTTCACGAATTTTTTTTTCTATTTTAACAGGACTTTGAAAGAGAGGCCATTGCCAGAAGTGTTATATATATATTTTGGAGTAAAGTCAACTTTTTTTTTTATGTAATAAATTCTATATCCTTGTGTTTGTGCACATCAGAGCTTTTGCTGTAATTTAATTGCAGGCTCTTGTGATCCCTTCCGTATCTTGTCCCTTGCAGACAGCACACAGTTGGACCCAGCCGCCGCGGTTCCCAGGCCTCGTCTAGGACCAAATTCATCAGCCTCGGTGGCGCCTGGCCGTTGCCTCTGCAGGGTCGTCTCGCACCACAGGGGCACACAAAGCAGTTCATATGGCATTTAAAATAGTTTTGTTAAATGTCCTTCCGTTCTCCTAGGTGCAATTGTTTAACTCATCTTTGAATCCTTAGCATCTGTCACGGTCCATGGAACGTAGCAGATGCTTCGGAAATGCTTGCCGTGTGGATACTTACAGGAGTCGTACTGGACTTTTCCCTTAGATGTAAGGCGCAGGGCAGAGATGGGCTGCCCGCAACGGCAGTAAGACGGAGGAGTGCTTGCTCTCTTGTTTAAGAAAACCAGTTCCTCAGGCTTGGGGAGTATCCCTTTGTAAAGAAACGTTTCTGCCTATTATGTATACATAATATAATTTACGGGAAAGTTTATTACAGCTTAGTTTCGTTTCAAATGGATTGTAAGCTCTTTTTGGCCAAGGTGGTGTCTTAATACTGCCGCTGTTTCTTCTACTTTGTCTCTGTGTGGGTGGTAGGCCCTCTGCGCTGGCTGATGATGAAGAAAGCAGAGAAGTAAACACACGTCTCAGCTGTTACATGAATTAAAAGTCTGTGTCTGTCACTGTGCTGGGCCAGGAGCTTTTTTAGGGCGCAGAGCATATTGTGTTTATCTCTGTATCCACAACATGCAGCACAGTGCCTGAATTTCAGTAGGAATTTGATAGCTTTTGGTAGTTACATTGACTAATCTCCTTGGAAGAAAAGGACTTCATAAGCTGCAGATGTTAACAAGGTCGTACATTGAGTGGATCCATGGGTTACATGCATTTGAAGCGTTACTGTTATTTGAGTGCATAATTGATAAGCTCTGACATCCTTAGATGTTTTTCTTCATTCCCTCTCTGCATGTTCCTTTAACGTAATTAAGCAAAGAACACCTGTCTTCCCCTTCCCTGCAGGCTGCCATGGCTGCTGTTGACAGCTTCTACCTCTTGTATAGGGAGATTGCCAGGTCATGCAATTGCTACATGGAAGCTCTGGCCTTGGTTGGAGCCTGGTACACAGCCAGGAAGAGCATCACTGTCATCTGTGACTTCTACAGCCTGGTCAGACTGCATTTCATCCCACGCCTGGTGAGCAGAGCAGATCTGATCAAGCAGTATGGAAGATGGGCCGTTGTGAGTGGTAAGAACGGGGATTTCAGTCCTCGCCTGATTTCAAAACAGAATTATCGCTTCTGTGTAAGCTGTGTAAGTTTCCTGTGTGTGTTTTCAGTGGGGTGCCTTATCCGAGGAGCCACTGAATTCACTGTGATGTGTTCACGGGAACACAGTTCTGTTGTGATTCTGTCCACGTTTTCTTATGGCCCTGCTCTTGGAACAGTTTTTGCCGTTCTTGTTCTGGCCGCCTGTTTCCGGTCCTGCCTCAGCCCACCTTCCCACCTCTTGTTTTTCCTTTCGCTGCCTTTTGAGACTATCCTTAGAAATTGTCACCACTGTCAGTTCCCTTATTTTAAATTTCATTTTGATTTATCATTGTTTCCCAGGAAAGTACCTCCCTGGCACTCGTTCAAGCCAGATATAAGTTTGAAAACTGTCTCCTGCTGTATCTCACTACCAGCTCGGTGAACGTGAGACTACCCTTCCTCTACTTATCAGGGGGTCTGGAAGAGTGTTTGACTAAGGTGTCGTTCATCTTTGGATTCGACATTGTACTCGACATAGTGATCAGTATGAGAACAGGGTTTATTTCTACTGTGAATCCTTCTCAGCTTAAACCCAGAGATGGGGTATTTAAGGTTCGCTCTGAAGGTCACACCGTGAAACGAGCGTGCTCACAGTCCCTGGCCTGTATTGCAGGTGCGACCGATGGGATCGGCCGAGCGTACGCAGAAGAGCTGGCAAGCCGTGGTCTCGATATCATCCTGATTAGCCGCAATCAAGACAAGCTGCAGATGGTCGCCAGAGACATAGCTGACACCTACAAAGTGGAAACCGAAGTTATAGTTGCGGACTTCAGCAATGGCCGCGAGATCTACGACCCGATTCGAGAAGCCTTGAAGGACAAAGACATTGGCATCTTGGTGAATAACGTAGGCGTGTTTTATCCCTACCCCCAGTATTTTACTCAGGTCTCCGAGGACAAACTCTGGGACATCATACATGTAAACATTGCTGCGGCTAGTTTGATGGTCCATATAGTGTTACCAGGGATGCTGGAGAGAAAGAAGGGTGCCATTGTCACTATCTCATCTGGCTCCTGCTGCAAACCCACTCCCCAGCTGGCTGCGTATTCTGCTTCTAAGGTAACGTAATCCTGATTAGGACAACAAAGTCATAAAGCAAGAGGACATTTATCATGTGATTTGGTCCAGTTTGTTGAGCTCTTTGTCCCCAGCTCGTGTTAACTTATGCTGTACTTTTTCCTGAAGTGGTAATAAGCCAGTTTTCTTCTGAATTTTCTTTCAAGTTCCGCCCCCCCCGCCCCCCCCCCGTTAAGTCTTTATCCTTGTCCTGTTTTAACAGGCTTATTTAGACCACTTCAGCAGAGCACTGCAGTATGAATATGCTTCTAAAGGAATCTTTGTGCAGAGTCTCATCCCATTCTGCGTGGCCACCAACGTGACCACACCCGGCAGCTTTCTGCACAAGTGTCCGTGGTTGGTGCCTTCACCAAAAGTTTATGCACATCATGCTGTTTCTACCCTTGGCATTTCGAAAAGGACCACAGGATACTGGTCCCATTCTATCCAGGTAACAGTGTGCACTCAACTCTTGTAATTAGGTTAATGCCTCCTACACCCTTCTAAATGATACATGGCAATCCGAATGAAGCCTACTGCTGAAACGTGAGAATTGCACATTCTGATTCTTAAACCTGACACTCGTAGTGGTTCTGGTTAAGTCCCTAAGTTCTCTTCTGTGCAATTGTTACTGATAGTTTAATCCATGTGGCACCTAAGAGATGAAGTATGCTGCTTTACTATAGGAAATGGCGAGAGTATAAAATACTCAGTACTCATGGGGACTCTTTGCATAAAGATTATTAAATTTGCCATCACCACATAAATAGGTAAGAAAATCAACATTAGTTCTTACTTTTATTGAAACATTTGGCTAAAAGTTTCTTTAATCCGAAGGAGCTTTATTTATTCAATCCTCTGTCAATTTTTAACTCATAAGGAGTTTCCTGGAAGAAGTTTGATGTGTCAAACACACCATAGAGAGTGATATCTGTGCTTATCCCAATGAGTCTTCCACATTAGGGCCTGAGTAAGAGTGATAGCCTGTGTTGGCTTTAGGATCTTGGAAGGACGTGCTCAATGCCTTGGATGAAGGCAGTTTGGGGAGCCTTTTAGGGAGCCATGGATTGCAGTGAGTAGGTGCGTGTGGGGAGGGCCATGGCAACTGCCCACCCCACAAATAAGGCTGTGCGGGCACGGCAGCAGGTGGATTTGGCCGGAGGAAGCCGTTGTATTTGTTACTCCATTTCAAGCAGCAGAGACGTGGCTGGATGTAAGTGCTGGTGGGAAGGGGAGTGTGGAGAAGAGCAGCCCAAAGATGGGGGGAGAGGAGAAGGCATGGTTCCGGGCAGTGGAGGCAGGACCCAGAGCGCAGTGGAGGGGACAAGCGGGGGCTGCTGACTGCTGGCTCCTGTGAGTGGGGGCTTCGGAGTGGGGAGGTTTGAAGTGAGAGTGTCGGGGGCGGAGAGCGGGGTGCTGCTCCTGTGTGACGGACCCTTGTGGGAGCCCCAGCCGGGATGGCCTCTGCATTGATTTCACAGCCTTTTACTGATCATTGCTAAGTCTGCATAAACAGTTCTTTTTGATGACTGTGCACAGAGTTTAGGGCGGAGGCGTCCTTGCTCCGCGCTGGCCCAGCCCTTACGGATGTCTGCAGGACACCATTTCTGCACAGGAGTTGTTTGGGAACCAGCCTCTGTTGCCTTCTTGGCGTTCATGTGATCAGATGACGGTGTCTTCCTTGTATTGTGCTAGTTGTCTTAACGATTGGCAAGCAGAAAATAGAAAAAAATGATTTGAACTTAAAACAGCTATAAAGGAGTCAAATGTCTTGGCTTTGTTAACTAGTCATCAGTGTTGATTTGGGAGCCTTTCTTCTTGTTTTCAGAAGTGCACGAGGCAGGGTTGTCAGCTTCAGAACACAGAGTAAGGCGGAAAAGCTTGTAGCCTTCTGTTTGGGTTACTTGACGTGAAGGCCAGAAGCACGTGGGTATGTATTAGGTTGAAAAAGCCATTAACTTGACAACTTGACCAGTAAGTGTCTTGTTACTATGGGGGCTGTGTTCCTGGTGTAGGAAGACAGAAAAAGCCACAGGGACTGGCAAGCGGGGGGGGGAGACGTCTGAGCTCTCTGGATGGGCCTGCAGTCTGCTCTCAATTTCTACCCACTTTAGGCATATTTGTTTCCACGTAGTGCGTGTGTGTTGCTATTGGAAAAAAGAAGACGTGGCATTTAGAGAAGAGGGATGCTGGTTGGCCTTGAGAAGGCTCTGGGGCTGCACACTGAGATGTGGGTGAGGGTCCAGGGGAGGCAGGCCAGCAGCCATGTCAGAGGCCAGGGCCCTCCTGCCCAGCCTGGGTTCCCACACCCGCTGCCAGCCAGGAAGGGAACTGGGAACCACACACCTTCACTGCAGCTTTGTTTCTACCTTTGGAATAACTCTGGCTTGAGGATCCAGCCCAAGTTCTTTGGGATCTTTTCCTTCCTTTCCATCCCCATTTCTTACCTAGGTCCTAACCATCCCAGTCTCTGGGAAATATATGGCGTCGGCATTTTCATTGCCAATGCAGATTTCCAGCCAGCTGTACATGTGCATTTGACATTGACTTCCTCCTCTGGAGCTGGCTCCCCACAGGGGCTGTCAGTTACCGTTGGCTTTTGTCGCAGGGGAGGACAGCTCCTTTCCTAGGCCTAGACAGGTGGGTCAGGTCTCTGAACATGCACAGAGCCTTCCAGAGCCAAAGATCCAGCCCTCCCTCCCCTCCCCGCTCTCACTCACTCCTCCTCTAAAGTAGATGAGTCACCCCTTTAGTTTCTAATCTATCAGTACACAGAGGATGCAGTTCTCTCCTCTTCCATTAGCTGTCTCCATCCTGCTCCCCAGGGTGCTAAGACCCAGTAGGATAAGCCAGAAATGGTGTGCCCGTGAGGGCTGTATACATAGCACCGTAAGAAACTGGCAAGGTGCGTCCTGCTGCTGGTCCCCCGTGATAGACAGTGGCCGTACTGAATGGAAATTAAAAACAAACAGATTTCTAGGTGTTGATCCCTCCTCCATTAAATAAATGCTGAAAAAATGCATAGTAGTCCTCCCCTTATCAGTGGGGATATGTTGCAAGGCACCCAGTGGACGCCCAATGGACGCCCGAAGCCATGGATAGTGCCGAACCCTATACAGACCGTGTTTTTTCCTGTCTGTGCGTGCATACCTGTGATAAAGTTACTTTATAAAGTAGGCACGGTGAGATGTTAACAATGACTAATAATAAAATAGAACAATTTTAACAGTATCCTATAATAAAAGTTATGTGAAGGTGGTCTCTCCAAAAATACCTGTATGGTTCGCAGCATTCCTGTTGTGGGGACATGACACGATAAAATGCCTGTGTGAGGAGAGGGAGTGAGGGTGCGTCGCGTTAGGCTTCTGTTGACAGGGCGGTAAGTCAGGAGGATCATCTGCTTCTGGACCACGGTTGACTTTGACCGTGGGTAACTGAAAGCGTGGAAAGCAAAACCAGGACAGTGGGGGCACCACTGTACTTGGAAGAGGGGTCCAGTTCTGTAGTCCATCCCAGGTGCCTACGTGTTTGAGCGCGTCCCTACTTCCAGGGTCCTCCCAGGGGACCTGAAGCTGACTTCTTTTATCTCCTTATGTTTGGAATCTTTCGCTTTAAAACAGTAGCTCCAAGGAGGAGTATCCCAGTATTTTATCCACAAAATCCTCACTCTTTAAAGAGGTCCAGAGAGACCTTCGTTGTGTCCCCAGAAAGTTTCCCATGGCTCCTGGTCAAATACGGGGCTCCTGTCTCTGAGGTGGCGAGGTGGAGCTCCTCTGGGACCTGCAATGGACCGCTGCAACTGCCCCTGATGCTGGGACCCCTCCTATTCAGTGCCCCTTCCCTGGGTCTGGGGTGACCTCTGTTACTTTATTTCTGTTCAAGGCTAGAATTTTAGCACTTGCCCGTGGCCTGTTCATCTCCCTTCCTTCCTTTTTTTTTTAAAAGTAAGCTCTTTGCCCATGATGGGGCTTGAACCCACGACCCCGGGATCAAGTGTTGTATGCTCCACCAACGGAGACGGGCCTCCCATTCATCTCCCTTCCTTACCATAGAGTGAGAACTTGTGCTCACCTCAGTCTTGGACCAACGCGTCCGCACAGCGCAGGGTTTCTCCCCATCAGCACTGTTGGCATTTGGTGTTGGACAATCCCTTGTGGGGAGGCTGTCCTGGGCACTGTAGAATGTTCAGCAGCATCCCTGACTTCTACCCACTGGCTGCTGGTAGCAGCAGCACCCCAGGTGTGATGACCAGGAAGGTTTCTGGACATTGCCATATATCCCCCCCACCCCTGGGGAGGGGGGGTAGGGCCCTGGTGGAGAAGCCTCGGAGCAGTCAGTCGGACTCCCTCCCTGCGGGCCCAGGCCGTCCCCATCGCGTCTCAGGACCTTGGCCCAGGGTCCCAGTGTTTTTGACTCGTTTCATTTCACCCCAGCCTGCCCCTCACACAGTACTAATCACGGATGCATTTATCCATTTCAGCTGCCCTTTATTCCTGGAGTGGTTTTGTCATTCTTAACCAAATGAGTATGTTATTGATACCAGGTTAAGTAAGGATGGGATTGTATTATTGCGTGTGAGTCTGTCCAGCCTCATTAGAGAGGGGTGGGCAGGCAGTGGTCATGTGTGTTGTATTCCCAGGGAGTCTAGCATAGGTTCTTATACAAAAATAGGTGCTTGGGTACAAGAGCCTTTTTTTTTGTATTTACTTTGGTGATATTTGTTGTATTAAGTCATATACCGACACTTAAGGGTCTGTGATTTGGGTTCTAACCTTCTAACCTTTTTCTCTTTCATTTTTAGTTCCTTTTTGCACAGTATATGCCTGAATGGCTCTGGGTGTGGGGAGCACATGTTCTCAGTCGCTCTTTACGTAAGGAGGCCTTGTCCTGCGGAGCATGAAACTGCATGATGGCTTGGGAAGTTTTGCCGCCTCCTGAGAACCTGCAGTATTCTGACGTTTGGAAGGACACATTTAATTTATCTTCTGTATTTTCTTTTATTACTGGTTTTATTACTGGTTGATTTAGCATACTGTTGACTCATCATTTGCAAAGCACACATAATACTTCTAGAAAATGCTGTGGAGAAACCACAGGGGCCGCATCAGGTGGATGGCATAGAGCACACGGTGACTGAGGCACAAGAACCTATTGAGGGAACCTAAATTGTAATGCTTCTCTTTTATTTTCTCGAAGCTGTCTCAAAGCCGTGTGATTTATGTTGTTCTAGGAGCTATAGCAATCTGATATTGAAATATAATATGACTTGTCAGCTCTCGTAGTTTCCAATGTTGTTTTTTAAGGGAAATCATTTCAGTACATGAATTATAGTATTGGTTCATCAGGAAAGACTATTTAAAAGCGTTATAAGCAAGATCGCTGGTGTAATTAGCAGTAGAGATCCGTGCATATCCTATTGTATAGCTCTGTTTGACTCTGTGTATGAAAATGCTGCTCTTCAAGCGATATTTCACTAGAGAACCATGTGTGTATATATGTTGTGTACGTCCGGGCAACTTTATTTATGGGTAAGTTACTTTTAAAAAGATGTCTTGCTAAGGTGGCTTAACGTGGAAACTTACGGGGTCTTGAAATTCTAGGTTACTCCTTTTCGCACTAAACAAGCCTACCCGATTTTGTGCTATAGGTTTGCCGTGTATAATATCATACATTCTGTTGGTGGTTTTTTCTTTTATCTGTGAAATTAGTTCATTCTTAGATTTGAACTTATAATGGTTGACCCTCAGTCATCTCTTGATTTATAATTATTGTGGATAAGTAGTGATTTCTCAGCCTACGACCCATTTTATAACTGAAAGTTAGCCCTTTAGAGCTTGTTATATCTGGTTTTCATACACTTTTCTATGTAATATTCTCTTCTAGCAGCGTTATTGGAGTAAACATCAATTACTTACGGAATAGTGGTTAAAATATGGACAAATTATGTGTGTGATATATTGTAATGTGTTAAAAGAAGTTAGCTCATTCTTGGTTTCTTGTAACAAATTTACGCATTACAGTGAACGCTTTTGTTGGTGTGACGATCATTGTGCGCAACCCCCCATGATAGGGGTTAGCTTTGACACCTACTGTGAAATAAATGTTTTTTGGCTCAGATCTTATAAAGCCAGACATTTTTGGGGACCACTCCCTAGTGCTTCAGCAACTGTAAACATCACTATATGAATGTGACAACATAATGCAAGTTAAGAATTTGGAGTTTATTACTGTGACACTGATGCAGAAACTAGTAAATTGGCTGAAATCAGGACTTGTATGGAATTGTTTTCATCTGAGATGGTATTCCATTAGGAGTTAGGCCTGGGCATGCCTTTATGGCACACCCACAATTTTGTCAGTGCCGTTGCCTCAGTATTTCCAGATCTGACTTGGACTCAGAAGATGAGTGGTTGAGTTCAGAACCTCTTCCATGTATAGACCAGGCCTTCATTACACAAAGAAGACCTTCAGATATGAAAACTTGCTAGCGGTGTTACACAGCACGGAAGGTGTTGATGGAGTCTGCTTGGAGGCCTTCATTTTATCACATTTGGCAATTTTCCCTCACCTAACAATTAACTTACGGTCATTAAGACTAGAGAAAATTTGACTTCCTGCCACATCAGCCTGAATTGTAATTGACATGTAGTAAGCAGCAGCAACTGTATGTAAAAGCACCGTATTTCTATCTCAGGAGTTACGTGGCACAGCAGTGTTTCTATTTATAGGTTATGGACTGAGTCACTGCCAAATGACAAAAATAAGTAAATCACGTCAGTGATGTTTGCAAATTCTCTACTTGGCAGGACATGTGAAAGTAAGCTGACGGGTGCAAAGCTAGTAAAAGATCAAAACCAAGAATCTTCCTTAGGTTTCCTCCTTGATAAAATATTTTTTCCCAGAGCTCATGGGCCACTGTAGGTGGGGTTTCTCACTAAGAATGTGGAAAATTAAGAACCTTTGAAACAACCAATAAAAACTAATTCTGCTTCCTGTGGGAGAGGTTTTATTCCGTGTATTTGTATTTGGAATGAGAGAGAGATCTTTTTCCCCATAGAAACAATTACTTTAAAAGTAATCTGTGAACACCTATGGTACTAATTCATTAAAAGCTGGTAATTCAGCAAGAAAATTGTGCATAACCATGCGTCTATTAAGTCTTTTGAAATAGACTAAGTAGATTTCTTGATCTCATTCTCCTGATAGGTTGAGTAGATAGTTGAAGGTAGATTTTGATCGACTTTGGCAACATGGAGGTGGCTGCTGGTTTTGCCATGAGCCATTTTTGTCACATGGTGGGGAATAAATGGTAGATTGTAGTCGGTTCAAAAGAGTGGAAAGAAAAAGGGAGACAGCAAGGAGAGAGCTCTTTTGAGGAGTCTCCCTCAGTTTTAATGTCAGTTACTCAAAATCTTACCACATTTGGGGACCAGGGGGTTTAGGTGGTGTCGTCTGAGTCTTGACATCATGGGTCCTCCTAAACCAAGTCCAGTCTGTGTCTCTGTCTCACTGCTGGATCGGCTGTAAGTCTTTAAAATAGTATGCAGTTTGAATAAAGACATACCTTCCCGTGGAATTTGTAAATTCCTTATTATACACATAAAGCATGAAGTTATTTTAGAACCTGAAGTGGTGGAACACCGTCAGACCAGGATCCTGTGGCTCTCATCCTTTCTGGGTAGATTTCCAGAACACCTCTCTCATACTCTTCCCACCTTCAGCTTATAGGGTTCTTGGAACTGGCAGCAGTGTCCGGTTCCCTACTTTGGGGCTTTGCTATCACATGACAAGGATTTATTTTTTTTTTTTAAAGATTTTATTTATTTTTCAACAGAGAGAGAGAGACAGCGAGAGAGGGAACACAAGCAGGGGGAGTGGGAGAGGGAGAAGCAGGCTTCCCGCGGAGCAGGGAGCCCGACGTGGGACTCGATCCCAGGACCCCGGGATCACGACCTGAGCCGAAGGCAGATGCCTAACGACTGAGCCACCCAGGCGCCCCACGTGACAAGGATTTTTGCAGTTCACTAGCCTACCTCAGTTCCTGACAGTTGGGTTGTGTATTCAATGGCACAGTGACTACAAGGCCTGTGAAAAGAACCGTGGCCGAGACCAATTCACCCCACATTGGAACACCACAGTGAAGCTTAAGCTCAAGTGCATTATATGGTGGCAGCAGGCACAGCCTAACTTAGAGGATTTGCAAATGCGAAAGAGTCAAGAATTCTCTGGAAGTTCCTAACATGGATGCGATCTCACCATGGGGAGAAGAACTTAATCAGGTGTAGGTGGGTCTAGATATTAAGCATCATTGTTTATTGAACATGGTGTTTCATCGAACCCTCATCCTGTGATTTACAAATACGTCTTTTGGGTAAGGAAGGTGAGGTACACTGAGCGGAGGTACACCTTGCCCAAGATCACAAATCTAGTAGGTGATGGTGTATTAACCTAGTATACTAAACCAGTCTGGTTAAAGAATGATGAAGGGAATACGCAGTGCTGTGCTTTCGTGTCACGTTGGTGCCACTCAGCATTATCGTGCTGCTGTGGAACGTTCATACAGTATCTGACTGTATAGCACGTCCCTTTTCAAAAACATTACCAAAAACATGTTTCAGTCCTCCACCTGTACACAGCGCCGAGGGTGGGCCGGTTCCACACGTGGGCAGAAAACAGCCCGCGATCCTAGTATCTAAGCCACGCAGGCATTTTGGGGGAGGCCAACGTTTCTGAGTTGAACGCACCGAGCCTTGTTTAGTCAACAAGGGTAACCACTGGGCATCAGTGGTCCCGGCGAAGTGGGGAGCGGACCGGAGCCGGGGCGGGCGGAGCGAGCGCGGCTTGGGGCGGCGGTTTCGCCCGCCAGTGGGGGGGGGGGGTCCCCGGGCCCGGAGCCAGCCGCCTCCCCGGCCCGTCCCGGCGGCCGCGTCGGACAAATGGGCAGAGGCTTGCAGAGGTGCGTGCCTGGGGGTGCCGCCCGAGCCTGGCCCCGGATCCGGACCCCGCTGGGCCCCAGGAAGAGGGCGCCGCGCCGGGAGCTCTCGGGCGTTTACGGCAAATGCTGGCCGTTCCGCCAGGATCGTCATCCCTGGGCCCTGGCCCCGCGCGGCCGCTTTCGGGTCCCACGTCCAACCCCCAGCCCCCAGCCCCCAGCCCCCAGCCCCGCCACCGACCTGGACCCGGAAGGCTCGCCGCCCTCCCTTCCCCGGCCGCAAGTGTCGCGAGACCTTTGTCCGGCCGGCCGGCCCGGGCCCGGCGGCCCCCGGCGTCCGGAGCGCGCACGCAGGCCCACGCAGGGGACGCAGGGGACGCACAGCCGGCGGGGCTGGCGCTCCCGGCACTCCCAGCCGTCGGTCTCCCCGCCCGGGTCGCGCAGTCTCGCGAGAGTTGGGGGTAAACAGCCCCGAATGGAGACGCGAGGCGTGTTCGCCGTGGAGGTGCCGTTATCCCGGGACCGCGGGACCCGAGCTTGAGGCGGCAGCAGGTAGGTTAGGCGGGGGCTCGCTCCCCCACCCGCCGACCGGTGCAGCCGCCCGCGCGCCCGTGGCCGCAAGGGCGGGGATGTGCGCCGGCGGCGGCCGGGGCCGGGGCCTCCCTGCGTCCCTGGACCCTCCGGGAGCGGCACAGGAGCATGGGGCGGGGGACAGACGGGAAGACGGGCGGACGGGTTGACGGGCGTTTTCCAGCGCCCGAAACAGCGCGTGCGGCTGTGCTCGGCAGGCCGCGGCTGGGGGCCCTGCGCGGCCCTTTCTCCGGGCTCACGCGGGGTGCTAGCTTGCTCAGCCTCACCGTTTTCTCCCCGTGAAATAAACTTCAACGGAGTGAAACCGTGTCTTCTTCCCGGCGCCCCCACGGTTCCGGGCCGGCTCCCGTAGGGGCTCCGGGATCACATTTTCAACGACCCCGGTTCTTTGCATGTCCCGGTCTGAGCACACTGCTGAACATCCCGATTTTCAGGAATGCAGTGCAGGAAGCCCGTCGGCAAGGTGGGCCCGAGAGACTCCTGCCTTGCCCTGTCATGTCTGTGCTACCTAAGACTAAGTCTAAGACTGCTATATTATAGATTATCAATATCATTTTTATTAAGATGTTTACCCTTTGTTTTGGTGAGAGCTTCTGGGAATGTTGGCCAGTTTGTGCAAATTAAGTTAAATACTTTAGGTTCTGAAGGACACTTCCAAGTGAAATAAAGTAGCAAAGATCTCAGAGCTGAACTCCGTAGAATTTATTTTCCTGTGGCGCTTTAGCCTTAGCTGTGCTAGTAAGCAACCCACCTGCAGCGTCTCAGTTTGCATTTGTTTAAGAGTGAGGAGCTTGGAGAACTGATTCTTCCCAACTTTTTTTTTTTTTTTTATCTGCAGCACACGTTTTATATATATATTTTATGTCAGTGCTTTGTTCAGGTAAAATTTACATACCATAAAATTCACTTGTTTTACATGTACTTAGTGTTTCCCCCCCCCCCCAGTAAATATGCAGAGTTGTGCGGTCATCACCACAACCCGCTTTTAGAACATTTTTGTTACCCCAAAAAGATCCCTGGTGCCCGTGTTCAGCCACTACCCATTTCTGACTCCAGCCCCAGGCAACCACTAATCTGCTCTCTGACTCCCTAGACTTGTCTCTTTTGAATATTTCATTGAGGTGGGATCATCTGTGGCCTTTGTGTCTGGGCTCTGCTCAGTGGGACCCTTGCCCATTCAGCCTCTCCATTGCACTCCCCATGCATCTCTCATATTCAAGAGTTGGTTGTATCTGTGAAAAAAGAGAAATTCTAATTTAGTGCTTGCAGAGTCTTTGCAGGACATGGGGCCCCATGGGATCAAGCTGGGTATCTTCTAGCTAAATTTTTAGCATTCCCTTCAAATTCACATGTTTGATTCCATCTTCTGTCATTCTAGTGGTAGATAGTTACTGCTCTGCCCTGCCTACTGCTTCTTTTGTGTGGCAGCCACAGTTAAGTGTCATAAATAGAGTAACAGAGGCTAGGAGGGGTGAACACGTAGGTAAACTGCACCTGGCTTCCATTTGTGTCCTGTGTGGGGTTTTTAGGGGGAGATTTGCAACTGGCTCTTTGCACCAGGAGAGAATTGAGATATTGTTTATATTTCATTGGAAAAACTTGACAACTCCAGCCCTTTGTGACTTGAAATATTAATGAAGGATGGGAGGCTAGACCTTGTGTTTGGTTATTTGGGTGGGGACTTTGGTCTCCGTCAGCATCTTGCCTGAGACAGGCCAAAGAGGTGGTGAAAACAGACACATCGATTTTCCCTTCCCGGTGGCCTAATCAGTTTTGACGGGCTGCAGAGATCTGTTACCTAGATTTACTAATCTTGACGATGTCTTTGCTTAAGGAAATGAGTTTCAAGTAAAATGAGGAAAGTTCTGGGTTTGGAGGTGCCTGCCGCGTGCGGCTGGCTAGCTAGTACTGGATGACTGAAGGATCAAGAGAATAAGGAGATGGACATAGCACCCATGAAAGAATAGGCAGTAAAGGACAGTGTAGACAAGCACCTGTTGATTCTTCGGGCTGAATTACTTGTTTTGTCCCGCTAATGGACAGATTGTGCCAGAAGGAATGGTTCAGTCAGTCTGAAGAATACACCTTTATTTCAAGATAGTGTGGTCTGGCGTCGTTTAAATGTTAGCTGATTAAACAATGGTAGTACTGCCAAGTATGCAATTAGTTATGAAAGTGGTACTTTTACAGCCAAAGTTTAATTGAACTGAATGCTACCCTTTTGTGGCCTAAACACAATTCAGTTTTCTCTGGAGCTATTTCAGTAAAGGTTCATTAAAAGAGCTGGTGTATCGAAATAATTAGATGACTGTCGGGTGATACAAGTAATTTCCTCTGAATTGTGTTCTTATTTGCAAAGAAGTGATTTCAGATACACTTTAGCTATACTCAGAATTATAATCTGAGTGATATTCTATTATAATGCAAAGTAGAAGAACCTGAGCTGCAAGGAATGTTAGCTGTCAGACCAGTTGTTTGCCCAGGTATACATTTCCTCTACTTGGTCTCCTTTTTAAACATAGCTCATTAAATCTTCTTCCTGGCATATATTGTTTGAACTGTTTATTTTCCATTTAGTATTTGATGTCAAATATGTTTTGATTACACCTGTATTAGAGGCATACTTATTAACAGAAAATCCATGATTGTGCACATACCATCTTTTAGGGCATACCTTTGTATGGAAAGATCACCAGGTCTTCTACATAAAGAATTTATAGAAATTAAATCCAGTAAACAGTGGATCCAGTAACAGCTCTAGCTAGGCCCTATGAGTAGGTGATATGGCGCATGATAAGCCTGTTCAGAATAAACGAGCGAAAAGCTTGTCCTGGAGCTCTAAGGTAGACACAGACAGATTTTTTAACACAATTCCTAGGAAATAGATCCCTTTTGATCTCTACTGTGTGTATGTACAGATAAAACCAAATCTTTGGGGCGCTTGGGTGCTCAGTCGGTTAAACGTCTGCCTTCAGCTCAGGTCATGATCCCAGGGTCCTGGGATCGAGCCCCACATCAGGCTCCCTGCTCTGTGGGGAACCTGCTTCTCCCTCTCCCTGCTGCTCCGCCTGCTTGTATTCTCTCTCTCTCTCTCTCTGTCAAATAAACAAATAAAATCTTTAAAAAAAACCAAAAACAAATCTTTGGGGTGCCTGGCTGGCTGAGTTGGTGGAGTGTGTGACTCAATCTCAGGGTCATGAGTTTGATCCCCATGTTAGGCATCTTAGAGATTACTTAAAAATAAATAAAATTTATTTAAAAAAAACCCTAAATCTTTAATATATTTTGAATCTTTGTGCCACCGTGTTACCAGAAAATTTGTTTTTCTATGAGTTTTATTAAATTTATCTAATTATGAAAGTGTAACATAGGCTCTTTGTAAAAATGTAAATGACCAGAACTAAGACCATAACTCCCTGTACTAATACCATTGAGAGGTAGGACCACTGTTACCTTGTGGCAGAGGTCTTTTCCTTTTCTTTTTCTCCTGTGCATATAGCTACATTATTTAAAAACCGAAATTTGGATCATTGTCCGTGAACTGTTTTACTTAATATTGCATTAACTTTTCCCTGTATTCTTTGGGAAATATATTCAAGACCTATGGCTGCTCTAACAAATTTCTACAAACTTAGTGATTTAAAACAATACCAGTTTATTATCTTACAGTTCTGGAGGTCAGTAGTCCAAAATCAGTGTCACTGGGCTGACGTCAAGGTGTCGGCAGGGCTTCATTACTTCTGGAGGCTCCAGGTGAGATTGTTTCCTTCCCTTTTTTGGTTTCTAGGGGCACCTGCGTTCCTTGGCTCCTGGTCTCTTCCTCTGACTACCTCAGCCTCCGGCTTCCATCATCTCTCTCCTGCTGTCGTCAGTGGGGGAGTAGCTCAGTGGGCCTGCCTCCGTCTTGTACAGACTCTTGTAATTACATTGGTCCCACTTGGATGATCCAGAGTACTCTCCTCATCTCAGGATCCTTAGTTTACTCATACCTGCAGAATCTCTTTGACCATATAAAGTAACATTTACAGGTTCTGGGGATGAGGATGTGGATATCTTTGGGGGACCATTATTCAGCCTTCTAGAGGAACATAATTTGAAATTGCTACACAGCATTCCATAGTTTTGGTTAATCAGTTAGCTAGTCTCCTGTTGCACATTTAGGTACTCTCTAACTTTTCCTGGTTATAGTCTTTGGGTGTAAATCATTGTATGCTCTCAGATTCACACTTCTATGAAATGAATTTCTAGGGGAGATTTTATTTTATTTTTTTAAAAAGATTTAAAAGAGAGCGCGTGCATGTGTGTGCTTGTGAGCTGAGGGGAGGGGCAGCGGGAGATGGAGAGTGAGTATCAAGCGGACTCGGGCTGAGCGTGGAGCCCGACACAGGGCTTGATCCCATGACCCTGAGATCGTGACCTGCGTCAAAACTAAGAGTCGGACACTTAACCGACTATGCCACCAAGGCGCCCCTCCAGGGGAGATTTTAGAAAAGCAGGGTAACCTACCTCTTAAGAGGGTGGCCTCCATGCCAGACTACTCAAGTTCCCAGCTGGCTTTCCCACTCACTGCCACGTGGCCCCAGGCCCATTGATGAGCCACCGTGGGCACCTCTGTGTTTTCATCTGGAAAGGGGGGTGGTTAGTAACAGGTTGGGAAGATTGCTTAGAATAGCAACTGCCACAGAATAAATGCTGCATGAGAGAGACACAGCGAGAGAGGGAACACAAGCGGGGGCAGTGGGAGAGG